GGGGGGGGGGGGGGTGGTTGTTTTGTGTGTGTGTACTGTACTTGTTTTTGGATTGTGGATCTTGGATTGCGGCTCTTGATTCTTATGGGTAAATAGGGTAGGTAGGTAAGTAGGTTATCTTACTATAAGACTTACTATACTTAGTATACTATTATAGATACGAAAAGGCAAGGGAAAGGGAAAGGGAAAGGGAAAGGGAAAGGGAAAGGGAAAGGGAAAAGGGAAAGGGAAAGGGAGGGTAAGGTCAGTCGGTTGGGTTTCTACTTATCTCTACGTGTTGATTTGGATATGATTTCTTACGGCACTATAGTGGTCATGCTAGATGAGAAGCAGTAGATGGACAAGGACATGGGAAATAATTACAGTAGTATAAGAGTGACGTGATATCATCAGTATATTTATCTGTTCATTTGTTTATTTTTATTTTATTGTATTGTATTCCGTCTCCGTAATTCTTTCTTTCTCTCTTTCATTGTTGGTATCACTCACTGAATTCCCGACCTTATCACCCACCCACTAACCCATTCATCTCATCCCACCCATCCCATCTCATACCATCTCATATCTCTCCTCCCATTCGCCCGACATCAATCTCGTAGGGCGGCGTTTCTTCATTACCATCGCCATCCAACCATCCATCCAACCAACCCGAAACCCTAGTATTATCCATCTCATCATGCAACACGAATCCCGAAAACCAAAGAAGAAACCCAAGAAGCAAGAAAGAGAAGGAGAAAAACTCCACGCTAAATGACCATCAATACAAAAGAAAACAAGAGAGAGAGAGGGAGAAAACCCCAATGACGTCCGCCACGTATGCAAAAATCCAAGTCGGTGGAGAGAGAGAAAGGAAGAAAGAAAGGAAAGAAATCATCAATCAGTCAATCATGTAAGTACTTTTAGTATCCCAGCGCCGATTTCGATCCCACACATACAAAGTCCAAGTCCAAGTCCAGGTCGAAGAATGTTGTAATCGTTATTCAATCAACATTCAAGGTTGAGGAGGAAGTGCAGGAAGTGGTTTCCTGGCTATATGAAAGGAGGTACTCGTGGGCGTGGGACTCGCAGGACCCGGTATTTCTTCGACTGCCTCATCTCTTTCTTCTTCTTCTGGAGGGGGTGAACTGAGTGCGAGACCAATTTGTGATCTGTTGACCCATGCTATATCAAGAGGTGCTGGTGGTGTATCTCTTGATGTCGTAGATGCTCGATCATTATCTGTTGCCGGAGGACTAGCGAGTTGCCGAAGGGAATTCTTGGAGCCTCTTCGCTTACGTGATCGCTTGTTGGGAGGGCTTTGAGTATATGATTGGAAACGGGGGCTGCTTTGTCCCGATCCCCCCGAGTTTGTTCGTCGGATGAACGAGTGGGTTCGAGGCGGTTCGAGACGTTCTGGTCGCGGCGGCTCGGGTGAGCATTCAGTGCTTTGGAGGGGATTTTCTTCGGGTGGTGGGGGTGTGTAGTCATAGTCTGAACGGGAGTAGTTGGATATTGGAGTTTGTGTGCCGTCTCTGCTTCGTGATCGAGAGATCCCATACTCACCAGACTGTGGTCTACTAGGGCCAGGGCCGGCGCCCCAAGAGCGTTCACTTCTCATTGAATCCATTCTGGGAAAAACGGGACTAAAAGCGGGACTTTGCATGGGACTTTCTGATGCCATGCTTCGTAGAAACCGTGCTGAGAAGTTGGGTATCTCGACTTGTCCACTAGAAGAAACCCTGGAGAAGATCACAAGGCCTAGGCAGAGCAATAGTAAAACCGACTGCACTATAGACATTCGTTTTTGAAATACAACCTCGTCTGCCAAAATATTGAGTCTGGCGCTGATGGCAAATATCTCTCGTCGGGATTCTTCTCTCTGACTTTCGAGGGAAATGATGGTCGACTGCCAGATTTCGTCATATTGTTGTCTAAATCCTCTTAATTCGGCGAGCACGGTATTGTTCAAGGTATCAAGAAAGACCGTTGATTTCTGAGTTTGTTTCTTCTCAACCTTGGAAAAAGCCTCTCTCAAGATCCTGGATTGCTCCTCGATATACTTAAGCGACAAGGTGGAGTTAGTCTCCAGAAGTTGGAGGCGCCTCGAGACTGCCTTGAAGAAACTCTCCTGTTGTGTTGGTAAAGAGGAGGATGAGGATGAAGTACTAGATGTCTTATTTTTCTGGGTGGAAGTAGCTACATGCGTCTTGCTCGGTTGTGTAGTTACTTGCTGCGACGGAGGCTCGACCACTGCATCGGAAGATGATGCAGTAACATTCAAATGAGTGGCAATGGAGGTTACAGGAGTCGGAACCTTTGTTGTAGAGGTTTTGAGCGAGCTAGATTCTGGAGTGATGGATCTTTCGGTCAAAATACTGGCATCCATCGTAATACTCCTGTCTGCAGCCGATGGCTCAGGAGTGGCGGGAACAGCTGGTGGTGTTTTAGATGAGGGTTCCTGTATGGGTGCTTGTTCCGGAAGACAAATCTCGTCCATGATAGGGGTATTTGTCGAGTTTGATACGGGAAATTTGTATCGGATCCACGGTGAAGTACCATTTTCCAAACGAAACTTTTCCTCGGCGTCATGTCTTGCAATAGCAGAGGCATGAGCAGTCTCAACCATCTCTTGTGCTACAGCTCTCATCTCTGCAACACGTCTTTCCTCTTTTTGAACAACTTCGGCTACGGCTTCGGGTACAAATTCTATTTCAGGAATGTCTTCTTCCGCATCGTCGTCCTCTCCAATGGCCTCTGATTCCCTCCAACTTTCCAACATTCGAGTTCCATGTACTCTCACAAGCGAGAGAGGGCAGTAATATTCATTACCATAGTGACTAAGAAATTCGATTCTTATATACCGTGCCCATATCTGGGGGTTTTCTATTAGAAACGCCTGGATGTCTCGAGAATTTCGTGCTTCGTAGACGCCGATGTCTCTCCATTTTTCCGTTTTAAGGGGATATTTATCACTAACGGTCACACGGAAGGTTCGAATCATACTAGAAAAGAACTCATAATTCGCAAGGACCACGGTATCAATCCAAATATCTTCCTAGAAGGGGGTTAGTCAAAGTATAAAAGGGGAGATACAGCTCTAGCATACCGACAGTTCAATAATGATAAACTTGTTTTCTTTCGAACACTCCGAGAGCATGTAAGAATCCTTATTCTCAATCAACACAGCCTTCGAGTTCTTCGCTCCCTTATGAGTCTTCACAACCGTAGCTCCCGCATCAAACGAGGCATAGGAAAACCGCTCCTTGCAAGTTTTTCCTGCGTCTTTACTACGATGCTCTCTCCGTCGTTCCTTTTTCTCTACAAGCTGTACTTCTGGAGTCTGCGTACTCTGACTTTCGGCCGCCTTTGATTCCTCCTGTCCATCTCCGCTATTTCGAAATGCCCCAAAATCGATATCGATTTCCCCTTCTTCGCCATAAGGTCCAAGACTATTCTGCAAGCCATCTGGATCCCTTCGTTTATTCTCGGCCGGATTTGCCTTTCGCCCACCAATTTGAGCATTCTGCTGTCCAGCCTTTTCCAAGGCCTGCTTCTTCCACTCTTCAAAAGACAAAAACGAGGCCTCGTTGAGTTCGCTAGCTTCGAGGTCTTCGATCACACCTGATTCCGTAGAAGCTGGTATGGCAGCTGGTACAGAGGTATGCAAAGGACTCGGCGTAGCCTGTTTATCCTCGGTACCGTTCTTTTCCTTCTCCTCTCCTGGTCCCTTTGTAGCACTCGAAGCCGGTGTCACAACGGCATCTACAACCATGCCCTCACCGCTGGCAGTCTCCGCGGCCACCACTCTCGTCGAAGTACCCTCCGCACCCCATGATGATCTAAAGCACAACCGCGGCAGCGAGTCGGTAATATAGTTTATCGTTCGAAACTCGCAGGTGGCAGGGAGGTTCGACGAGGGCGTCGGTTTCGTGGACGCAGTTATGGATGTTGCGGATATTTGTTGGGGAGCAGTAGCAGCGATCAGCAGCAGCAGAGATGCCACAGGAAATCGGTTGCAGACAAATCGCATCTTGACCTCAACATCCTGATTCTTCCAAAGAAACCAAAAAAATCCGCCGGTTTTCGTTGGGTGTGCAGGAGAGTGGGTAGAGCGGTGCGGTTGGTCGTGGGGAGGGATGATTGGAAAGTTGTTGGCTAATCCGCTCCAAAGTGCTGGGGGGTGATTGCTGTCACCGTGACTGTGCCCCACGAGGCTGTGATTAGATTGGACAATCACAATCAGGAAAAGCAATGCAATGTCAACTTTTGGGCTACAGGATGATGCAGCCACGCATACGATACAAGTACAGGATGCAACAACGAGGCACGTCAGCCAGTGGTATTCCTGTACTCGACCCAAGAAATGCAAGGTGCAAGTTCTTTGTACGGAGTACAACTCGACAACCTTCTCCTCCTTGTTACAGTAGTAAACCATACCAACGATACAGCTATCTCCACGTAATCCAAGACCCTGCAAGAAGCTTCAAGAAGGGGCACACGCTCCCAAACTTTCTATTACAGGGTCCTTCCTTTCCAAAAATAATCTTTTCACGGACCCCTTCAGACGAGCATAAATTAATAAGTGGAGCTCCCAGTTAGACTTCTTTCTCCAACAAAAATACTGGGACGGTGATTGGTCCAAGGGAGATCTACAACCAGCAATACCCCACCTTTATTTTGGTTTTCATTTGCATTGAGCCCTTAATATAAAATGATGGTCTTTTAAAAAGAACGCAAAAAAAAAGAGGGAGGCAGTGGGGAGGCGATGAATCTAAATCGATACAGGCTTTATTAGGGTTATGAAATTCATATAAATTACCGTACATGTGACCTCGCAAAAGAACTGAAACCTAGTGGATACTATATAAATGTACTTCCTACCTAGATACTTCCTGGATACTTTCGCTAAGTACTTTCCAGATACTTCCCTAGATACTTCCCTGATATGTTCCCGCACCTCGTGGTACTCAGACACCAGGAACGGCTAGAAGAGAAAGTCAATGAAGGTATAGGTAGGTACAGCCCATAGTACCACTATAGAGAAGACATATTTCATATTTACTTCCCTCACTAAGTACTTCTCTGCTTAATCCTCAACCATGGGGAATCTTCAGCAACCACAACCAATCTCGTCGCACTCAAAACTTCCTCAATCACCAAATTCGTACTTCATAGCTTTCCTAGAACACATTACTCCAAACTCAACCCCAACCATCCCTCGAAAAAATACCATCCCCATCCCTTCCTCACGAGGTATACGCAAAATTCGTTCCCCTACAAGCCAACCAGAAATCTCGAACCACAAGATTCGTCCCCCTAGCACCACGCAGACTACAAAATATTAGCGTCTCGCCAGAAGAGGAAAAGAAGGGGACAGCATACTTCAAAATCTTCTGTAGAAACACTTTCTTATCATTCACAGTAACCTTATCACTGGAGAAATTCTCCGCCATGAGCGCAGCTTCAAACCACTTCTTCGCCTGGCTTTGTCGGAAAATCAGCTTCTTGAGGGGGTCAGCAAGTTTGTCGAGTTCGCTGCGTGCAGCGTGTCCCGAAATATTGTATATCAGAGCTTGAGCGAGCATAGGACCAAGATGCTGCATAACATTGTCCGCGGATGCTTTGGATTCTTGTTCCAGCTCGGGTCCGGTCACGAAAGAGGCCTAAGACTGTTAGAATCTTAAGACATAGGATAACAAATACATACCCAGAATTCGGCCGCGGAGCCTTTGGGTACTGTGTCGCTTCCAGTGAGGGCTTTCAAGGTGAACATAAAGAGAAATTCCAGGGAGGTAGGCGGTTGATGATTCATTAACGTATTCAGATGCTTGGGTACCAAACGTGTGAGAAAATCGATTCCATTTTGTGCAATTTCGGGGTCATTTCCTGGCTCTGTAGAATATTAGTTTGTAGAGCGACAAGGAAGAATCATATTATATACCTCCTTGCTGTTGGAGTAGCTGCGACACCCAATTGATCAAGGCATTCAACACCACTTCAAGTTGTGGACTCAAATTGTATGATGTAACAAATAAGCATGCAGTGCCTATTACCCGTCCTAGTCGAGGGGTCTGAACATTGGCTTTCAATATGAACTCAGCGATCAAAGCTGGAGGAAATACAAAGGCTCCAGGTTCGAGCTCTCGAAACCCTTGTCGCCATATTTCACAAGTTGTCTCAACGATATCACCATAGCCTCCAAGCACGTCATTGACCCTACTAATCATATCGAATGTGCGTCTTTGGATTTGTGATCCGTTACCCTCCGTCCAGAACGTTGATCCATTACCACTATCTTCGAGGTCCACGGGCGTGTCGTCAGGAGCCTGGAGACCCTTCGCAACTCCAATAAGACTTCTCAAAGCGCCAACACCCAGATCTAAACCTGGATTTTCCGGGTTCGATGATCGCCTAGATAATTTAACTTCATTCGAGGCCTCTCCTAAAGAGGGTTGCGAGACGATAACACGAAATGAGGTTTCGATATCTGCGTCAACAAAACTGAGTAACTGGTCCAGCGGAGCGATTTTCGAGTCATCGTCAGGTACCGCTTGGACGAGGGAAGCTATTCCTTCCATGATGGCTTCTTTTGAATACTTATCCAAGGGTGAGTTGAGAGCAAGGTTTTGGTATTGCTGTAAAAAGGAACCTAGCTCAGGAACAAGACGCTTCCTACAATTGGAACATAGTCGTAGAATTGTGCGTGATGCTTTGTAACTTAATGCTGGAGATGACAAGGCACCAAACACAATGTTCAACACTATTGGCAGATACGACATATTTTCTTCAAAGTAATCTGCATATCCGTCTACCAATAGAAGAAAAGACTGCATAGTCCGAACTGGTATTTCCTCGGGTGGATTCGCGAAGAGAGAGAAAAATGGAGCTGTGAATATCTTTGCTAGGTATTCATCACGAGGCTCATTCTCGCTTATGTTGTCAGGAAAGCATGCTAAGCAGTAGAGCGATGTTTCCAGTTCAGCCCAATTCCGCTCCTCGACAGATTTGATCGCCAATGCGATGAATATGTCGAGAATCGAAATGCTGGTGACCAGGTAAAACTGCTGTAAGAGGTCTGCAAAGTCTCTTCTGGCATCTTTGAAGCCCGTGCGATCCACTGAATCCCACGAGTTGAAGACGTCTGGTGGTGGGAACTGAAGCTTTCGCCAACATCTCTCTATAGCCAAATTTACATGCATCTGAGCAGTTGCGAACCATGGTGCGTCCCGTCCGGCCTCAGAGTGTACGCCGTCAATCATATTTTCCACAAAAGCGTTCCAGAACTCAAGCGCCGGCACAAAGATCCTATCTTCGTGAACAGGATATCCATCGGCACCTAGGAGGCCTCCCAGCCCAGAAAGAAATTGTTGGAATTGGGGCTCCGTATTTTTCGTCAAATCTTGGAGTGTTGCATCTCCAAAGGCAAGAGAGAACAGACCAAATTGAAGTGAATCAAAGTCAAAGTCTCCTTGAATGAGTCGTTGATATCGTTCCTGAGCCCAAGGGCTGTTGAAAAGAGAATATAGTAGTTGGAAATCTTCTTTGGAGAAAAACCTGCTATAGGTCTGAAGAACATCTGACAAGAGCTCCATCGTAATTTCATATAAATTTTCGTCTGCAAGACACATAATTGTCGACTTTGTAAGGGGTTTCAGGGGCTCAAGAACTAGTCCGTCATCGATGAAAGCACGATGTGCATACGATACCCATGCCTAATTGATTAGCTGGTCAGATAGACTTGATTGTTTCGTCAAATAAGAGACTGCTTGGGGTTTGACCACAACATACCTGGTAGCATTTCATAGCCTCCTGGCGATTCTTGGTGTGCTGCGGGCTTGGGGTTGATTCTGAGATATATCTCGATATCAAAGGTACAATATCATCAACATTTGGTAACATCATCTGATGGAACTTGTGCCTAGAATGAGAGGTCAGCTTTTTTGGGCTGGGCATGAGGGAGACATGTTGAACTCAACTGCTTCATCGAATTCGAGTCTGTCTTGCCGACCTCCTCCACCAGAGTAGAGGCGAACCAGAAGATCGCTATGGCCTTGCTGTCTGGAATTTCTCGCACAAGTGCTTCCGTATCTGGAGCCTCGGACAATGATTCATATGGAACGGCCGTCTTCATACACACGCAGTACAAGAGATGCTTGACACAATTCTTCCAGGCTGCCGGAAATTGGAAGAAGTATGCAACTAATGTGGAACATAACTTTCTCGTGACCAAGGGACCTTCAGCATTCTCGATGCATCTTATTAGCCAGTTGATGAGCGTTTGCAGAAGGGCTTGGGCATCTTGCTCTCCTAGGGATTTGCTTGTAACACATTAGCAGATTCTTGCAACAAGAATGGCGATATTTACGAGTCTGTATTGAGTTTGACAATAAACGTTAGTGCAGCAAAAAACCTGACTTGTTCACTCTCGTGATTTGCGAGATTATTTGCAAGCTGCCAACCATGGGAAGAACGTTGGAGCTGTTGAAGTATCTCTTGTGTCTTAGCAACCTTTTCAGGAGATCCCGGTTGGTAGAGTTGGAGGATGAGCTATGAGGAGGTTAGTTAAAGTGATACCATGCCATACAAGGTGTAGATATAAATCCGCTGTGCCAACGCGTCTGATTGTCACAGTACTGAACAGGCCATGAGAGTGTTGCCTGGAGAGATGGGGGATACTAAGGGTAGGAACTCAAAAAAAGAAAAGAGTATCGACTTACAGAGACTACCTCCTCCATAGAAGTTGGTAGTGTTGAAGATACGCTTGCCATGGCTGGTATTCCTGTGTGGTCAAGGTGTCAGTGGATGAGACAAGTCTGCAGATGTGGTGAGGTGTGCAGGCTAGATGGGAGTGACTGGGCCTGAAAGAAATTGCAGGGATCTCATAGTCAAATGATTGTGACAGAAACTTGTCTAGAGCTTTGAGATACAAAAGCCGATCTAATGTATGGGCACGCGCATGGTTTCTTGTTGTTGTATTATCAGAATCAGCAAGGTCATCAGTAGGAGAATTTGTGGACGATGCTCTGCTACGTCGGTCGACTGGTCGGCTGCTCTTCGGTACAACTCACACAAGAAGGGGACTTGGATTTGTTTATCCTCAAGAAAACAAATACAACCTTTTCAGAACAGCTGGACTAAACTGGAGCGTATACGAGCGATTCAGGGTTGCGATGGAATTTTTTATGAGTAGAAAAGAGCGAAGAAGCAGAGATATGTCTGTTGCTTTGAGTCTCGAGGTTCAACTTCCTCAGAGGGAGTCTTATCGATAGAGCGAGGATCCAGGAGAGACAGATTTACCGATCCCTCCAGGGCTCCCCTTCTCTGCCTATCCCTCCTCGTTACCGACCTTGAAATCCTTCGATGTTGCATGCTGCGATAATCATCACTGCTGCATACAACTTGTAGTTATCCTATTGAGTGTGTCTAGGAATACAAACGTTGTGCTCCAAAGCACCACTCTGGCGGGTCACCTTTGGTGTACGAGTACTAGTACTCGTACATATCCAAACCGGCATTTGCTCCCGGATTTTTCTTGGGAAACTTTCTCTCGAGACTGGAAGATTTGGAAGAGTTACTTGAGTAACCTTCTTGGGAACATTTGTAGCTATTTTCCCAATCAGACCACACCACGAAACAGCAAACAAGCAGACTAGCATTCTGCCTGTGTATTCGAAACGATTTTCCAGTGCCGCCTTACATCGCATCCAACCTCGGGTGGGTCTGTATCAGTACCTACTAGGGACCTAGTAGGTATCGTTCTGTACCCCACGAACAAAGGTTGTGACGAAGATCAATGCGATATACAGGAGGTCTTTTAAGGAGGGGTTTAACGGGAATTCGACGGCCAACTTCCGAAAACATCCTCTGGTCTCCTTCGCAGAAACTCCAGATCAACATAAGATATAAATCCACTTCACCCATCATCGATAAAGGTATCTTTCACCCGCAATAACAACCCCGCTCTCCCCTCAATGCTCCTCAAACCAGAACCAGAACTGACCAACAACCACATTAGCCATGGAGCAAGTCAACACTACAGAGCGCCTCACTCGTCTGAGGGAACTTATGAAACAGCACAAGCTAGACATCTACAGTATGTGAGTGATCCAAATCCAGCTTTCTGTCAATTGTTGACAAGTCCTCCAGTTGTACCTAGCGAAGATAGCCATGCGTCCGAATACATCGCTCCATGCGATGCACGACGAGAATACATATCGGGCTTTTCCGGATCTGCTGGATGTGCAGTCATCACCCATGAGAAGGCAGCTCTTGCTACCGACGGTCGATACTTCAACCAAGCCTCGAAACAACTCGATAGTAATTGGCTTTTGCTGAAGCAAGGTCTACAAGATGTCCCAACTTGGCAGGAGTGGTCTGCGGAACAATCAGAAGGAGGGAAAATTGTTGGTGTAGATCCTACGGTCATAGGGGCTCCAGAGGCAAGGAAGCTGTCAGAAAAGATCAAGAAGCGGGGAGGACAAGACTTGGTGGCAGTGGAAGAGAATCTGGTCGACATAATCTGGGGCAACGATCGACCACAGAAACCTACCGAGCCCGTCAAGATTTTACCACAACATTTCGCAGGAAAGGAGGTCAAGACTAAGCTGGAAGAGTTGAGGAAAGAGTTGGAGAAAAAGAAGAGTTCAGGAATGATTGTTTCGATGCTGGATGAGATTGCGTGGTTGTTCAACTTGCGAGGAAACGATATTCCATATAACCCGGTTTTCTTCTCTTATGCCGCAATCACTCCTACTACCGCCACACTCTTCATTAATTCTTCTAAGCTCAGTAGCGAGTGCAAGACTTATCTGACGGACAATCGTGTTTCGATACGGCCCTACCACAAGATTTTTGATGATAGTGAAGTATTGTCTAAATCTCTAGATCCAACGGCAGAATCGGTGCCTGAAGCCAAGATCAAGAAGTTCTTGGTATCAACCAAGACCTCTTGGGCACTGAAGCGAGCATTAGGGGGAGAAGCCAAAGTGGAAGAAGTTCGAAGTCCTATTGGTGATGCCAAAGCTGTCAAGAACGGAACGGAACTTGACGGCATGAGAGCATGCCACATTAGGGATGGAGCAGCGTTAACCGAGTACTTTGCTTGGTTGGAACACCAACTGCTTGTTGAGAAAAAGGAATTGGACGAGGTTACCGCAGCAGACAAGTTAGAAGAACTGCGGTCGAAAAAGAAGAACTTTGTTGGACTGTCTTTTGATACGATATCTTCGACAGGTGCAAATGCTGCTGTCATACATTACTCGCCTGAACGAGGTAATTGTGCTATTATCGATCCGAACGCTGTATATTTGTGCGATTCAGGTGCTCAATATCTTGATGGTACGACGGACACAACTAGAACGCTACATTTTGGAGAACCAACGGAGATGGAGAAGAAAGCATATACTCTTGTTTTAAAAGGCAACATTGCTTTAGATTTGGCTGTGTTCCCCAAGGGCACAAGCGGATTCGCTTTAGATACTCTGGCGAGACAGTTCTTATGGGTAAGCCTACCCCACCTTTTCTATCTCTTTCCCCCCAAGAACCAAAATCAATGCAACAAGTGCTAACATTCCAACAGGAAGAAGGGCTAGACTACCGCCACGGAACCGGCCACGGCGTAGGCTCCTACCTCAACGTACACGAAGGACCTATCGGAATCGGCACCCGAATCCAATACTCGGAAGTTCCCCTGGCACCCGGCAATGTGATCTCGAACGAGCCGGGGTACTACGAAGACGGCAGCTTCGGGATCCGCATCGAGAACATCATCATGGTCAAGGAAGTCGAGACGTCGCACAAGTTCGGCGAGAAACCGTACCTGGGCTTTGAACATGTCACGATGGTGCCCTATTGCCGCAAGTTGATTGATGAGAGTCTGCTGACGCGACGCGAGAAGAATTGGTTGAATGAGTATCATGCTGATATTCATGCGAAGACTAAGGAGTTTTTGGAGGAGGGTGGTGTGGCGATGAAGTGGTTGGAGAGGGAGACTACGCCGATTTAGATATCGCGTCTCTTTTTTCCCTCTCTGTGTTTCTCGTCTTGCTTCTGGTTCCACCTTTTTGGGAAGTGTGTGCTTTTTGGTGGAATGGTAGATAGAAGTTTTGGGGATGGATGGATATCATTCTCTACCCCTTCCTTCCTTTTTTGGTCATTGGGATATGCATTGATACAGTACAGTACATTGTATAGCATTGCATAGCATTGCATCGCGTCCATTCATCTATCTCTCTTTCTCAAGTTCCAACATCCTGTTAACATCCTGTTTTTACAGTACATTACATTTTTGTGTTCTGTTCTTCCATCTTCCTGTCTTCATCTTTTTTGTAGCCCTCGTCCATCCATCGTACCCACTGGGTGGAAATACAGTACATAGTACATAACATAACATAGTCTATACCAAGCTACCCCACTACCCATTTCCCCATTTCCCCATCTATCACTCTATCTCACTGCCCCTCTACCCCTCCACATACTCGCCAACTTCCCCACCCCCTTCTCAACCAAGTAACAAGTCCCAACTAAAAATCAAAACTTCATAAAAGCAGCCATCACAAACGCCGTCCCGAACGAGATCTTGAACGCGGCGTTATCCTGTACCGCGGAACGGAGATCGATGGAGGAGATGTACTTTTGGAGTTTGGCTGTAGGGATTAGGTTTAGGCCTTTGGTTTGTGCAAACTTTTTTTATTAGTTTTCCTGGATGAAAAGGGACAAGGGAAAGAGACAGTGACATACTTGGATCCCTAAGATCATTAGCCCGATTAGTAATGTGAGGGTTTTTGAGAAGGTGCTGATGAGGAGGCCGGTGCAGAGTCCTATTTGAGGAGTGGGTTAGCTTTTTCCTGAGTATTGTTCTTGTATGGCTGTCAGGGTGGGGTAGGAATGCGTGTGGATCGGGGCTGATAGGTATGTAATTATCATGCTGTACGCAAGATTACAGAGAATCCAGAAAGAATGTAGAGTCCGAGTTGGAATTTCGAAGTTTGGAAATCCCCAGCTACCTACTGAGATAGCCTGTCTGATGACTACCTAGGTAGATAGGTAGGATGATTCATATTTGGAACTTGCAACTTGCAACTTGGTTCTTTGGATCTTGATCTTGGGGGACTGTTTGTTTTGTGATGGTAGTAACAAAAACAAGAATGTGAATGTGAATATGAATATGAATATGAATAGTGACTCCCCAAACAATTTTCCTCTTCCCCTTACTCTTCCTCTTACTCTCTCTCATCTCCACCTACTCTTCATCTCTCATCCACCCCCATCTCACCCCCTCTTCCCCCCCCAAAAAACCACAAAACCATAAAATATATAAAAAAAAACAAAAACATACCAGCAATACTCCCCCCACTAATCTGTCCCACAGCCCGAGGATTCAAGCCCCCACCTCTCTTGACAACAGGCGTCTTCGCATTCTGTCTGTACGACTCCAATAGTCCTCCATTCCCACTATCCAGCTTGATAGGCGAGCGGTTCAGATTAACGATTTGATGGCCGATGAAGAGGGAGATGCCGAGACCTAGTCCGAGGGTTTGGGGACGGAGGGGGCGGAGGAGGGTTGTCATTTTTCTTTTTTGTGAGGTTTATGAGGTTTGTGAGTTTTGGGGGTTTTGGCGGTTCAGTGATTTGAAAGAGTTGAGGGATGGGAGGGATTGGGATTGGTGAGTGGTGATAGGTAGGTAGGGAGTGGTGTTGATGAGAGGCGTAATAGAGCGGTGATTTTCCGCCTTCAACACGTGATGTCACTCTCTCCATCCCGTCACTGTTCCACCCACCCGCCTTTCAAACCCCGAGACCATCCATCGGACTTAAAGAAATGGATATTTTCCGCTCTACCAGGAAGGCTACAAGCGGCAACATACGGCAGCACATCTAGAACGGAATCTCGCCTCACCATCCCATCCCAATTCCCCTTACTGTACTCACAACAGTACCTACAATATGCGAACAAAGTGAAATCGGAGAATCCCTGCATATAACATACATGACCAGTGCATTATAATATCTCACATGGAGTGAGTGAAAGTCAATTTAAATTTACTCGTACATGACATGAACATCCCTCAAATGCAATCGAGAAAAACCAATTAGTCGCCTTCAAATCGCTTCTCAGACAAGGAGAGACTCGGAATCCAAGGCGGAAGCTAGCAAGTCATTCAAGGATCTCCATCTGCAGGGCTCCCCACCAAAGTACTGGTACCGTACCGTCTCAATCCTGACCATCGATCGGACCCCTCCCCTCCCCTCACTCACGCCACGCCCCTCCGAAAAGTGCGCCGTTTGTTTTGCTACCGTACCAGTGGCGTAGTTTGCCTAGCCAAGAAAGCTTAGAAGAAGGTGCAAGCAAAAAAAAAAAAACTTTAAGACTCATACTTAGTTCTTTGCCTCTTTTCTTTGCTGGCAATTGAGGTTACGGTACCTACTTACGAGCAATTCATCACTTACATTTCCGTCTGGTTCTTGCGAGGTCTTGATTATTCGCTTGCTTACAGCAGAGAGGAAGAGAAGAGAGAGAGGAAAGGAAGGAAGATACAAAGAAAGAAAAACAAGCAGATGTTGAACGATACCTCGAAAATGGCCACCGAACTCCCAACCCGCAGCACGAATGGCGATCGTACACCCCTCAACGCAGCCGGCGAGGAGAACTTCACCGTCAAGACGGGCTTGGCGAGGATGTTGAAGGGGGGTGTGATTATGGATGTCGTTAATGCTGAACAAGTACGTACTTTTCTCTTTCCCTTCCCTTCATCTTTTCTTTTCTTTCAAAAGACAATTGGACTCTGTTCTTTTTGATTTCTTTGCCTCCCAAGATGTAAGCTGACTCATGAAATCAACACAGGCAAGAATAGCAGAAGAAGCTGGCGCCGTAGCAGTCATGGCTCTCGAGCGTGTCCCAGCCGATATCAGAGCCGAGGGTGGTGTATCCAGGATGTCGGATCCCAAGATGATCAGGGAGATCATGAAGACAGTTACCATTCCCGTCATGGCCAAGGCGAGAATCGGTCATTTCGTAGAGTGTCAGGTATGTATCCATCCTCTTCCTTTTCTATTCCTCCCTCTTTTCCCTTTCCAATTCAAACTTATACTCACCATCAAAACGTACCCAGATCCTCGAAGCAATAGGCGTAGACTACATCGACGAATCCGAAGTCCTCACCCCCGCCGACGCCCTCTACCACGTCGAAAAGCACCCCTTCTCCGTCCCTTTCGTCTGCGGCTGCCGCAACCTAGGCGAAGCCCTCCGCCGCATCTCCGAAGGCGCCGCCATGATCCGCACCAAAGGCGAAGCCGGCACCGGCGACGTGATCGAAGCCGTCCGCCACATGCGCACCGTCAATTCCGAGATCGCCCACGCCTCCAAGATGTCCGACACCGAGCTGCGCGTCCTGGCCAAGGACATTCAAGCGCCCTTTGAGCTGTTGAGGGAGACGGCGAGGCTGGGTCGGCTTCCCGTGGTGAATTTTGCGGCGGGTGGCGTAGCGACGCCGGCGGATGCGGCGTTGATGATGCAGCTTGGTTGTGATGGTGTTTTTGTGGGGAGTGGGATTTTTAAGAGTGGTGATGCTAGTAAGAGGGCTAAGGCGATTGTGCAAGCTGTCACGCATTACAATGATCCCAAGGTCCTGGCTGAGGTGAGTGAGGATCTGGGGGAGGCCATGGTCGGTTTGAATGTTTCGGTGATGGATGCGAAGGATAAGATGCAAGGTAGAGGATGGTAAGGAGTTTCTCATTTTTTTCTCTTCTTTTTTTGCGATTTGCGAGGGGAGTGGAGTATAGGAAAGGGGGAGGCGATTTTACATACGGTATTGCATGCATCCTTCAACGATATGCATTATTTTGGCGCACAGCTTAAAAAGGTTCAATATGGAAATACCACCAATCTTCATAGAGCAAATTCAGATCAAAAATTTCGGAGATCAGTTCTTACTTCCTCATACAGTATGATTGGAAAGTATATGCAAACGACCATGTTACAAGTTTTTGCCCAACCAAACTTTTGGTATCACACCAATCCCGCCCAGAAACGCCAACATGACAAAAAAAGGTCCCTCGAATCCAATGTCTCGCTTACATGAATGTTTCTCTACTCCTCCCAAATACCCAAGTTCAATAACTCGCAGCCCTCGTTCCCGGATCGCTTGATGAGCTTGCCAATCTCGTACACTTGTTCACCAGCGGCCTCGAGCTCTTGGTGAACCAACTTCGCGTTCTCCTGGCTGACTACGACAACCATGCCAATGCCACAGTTGAACGTACGGCCCAATTCTGGTCCGGAGACGTTACCAGCATTCTTAAGCCACTTGAACATGGGGGAAAGCTGCCAGTTGGCAACATCGATTTCACCAGTGAGGTGAGATGGCAACATACGTGGGACGTTCTCGAAAAGACCGCCTCCCGTGATGTGTGAGAGACCCTTGACGAGTTTCTTGTCGGTAACTTTGAGGAGTGACTTCACGTAGATTCGAGTAGGATACAAGAGTGCCTCCCCAAGAACCGTGGACTGTGTTCGATCCCATGGGGTGGTATCTTTGTATGATAGACCCTCTCGAGCGATGATTCTTCGCACAAGCGAGAAACCATTGGAGTGGACACCACTTGATGCTAAACCAAGCAAGATATCACCCTCAACCATATCATCCTTTCGTGGTAATCTGACATCTTGCGACATGGCTCCAACAGCACAACCTGCTGCGTCATAGTCATCGGCTTGGTACATCCCAGGCATTTCTGCAGTCTCGCCGCCAACGAGTGTGCAACCGGCTTGGTTACAACCCTCTGCAACACCTTCCACGAATGAAGCGGCGGTGTCAAGTTTGAGCTTGCTGCATCCGTAGTAATCGAGGAACATGAATGGTCTTGCGCCTTGAACGACAAGATCATTAACATTCATTGCGACAAGATCAATACCAACAGTATCGTGCTTGTTCATTGCTTGAGCAACCATAAGTTTTGTTCCCACACCATCAATGGCACCAACAGTAATTGGAGCAGAACTAAAACCAGCCTTCTCCATATCAACCTCTCCACCAAAACCCCCAATTTCAGCATTAGCACCGGGTTGTCTTGTCGAAGCAACTGCTTTTTTAATTCTCTCAACGAAAGCGTTTCCAGCATCAATACTAACACCCGCTGAAGCGTATGTGAGAGCTTCTTTCTCTTTACTGGCTGCTGCTGACTTGAATGCTCGATGCGCAATATCCTTCCGGTAGAACATCTTGTCGAATTTGATATGGTCCACACCAAGGTAAGCCTTCTTTACTGCCTCTTCCAAAGTCTCAGCTCTTGCCTGAGCAGCAATAACTCGGCCACCAGAAGACTGGAGCTGATTGTCTTTGATAGTTGTACCAGCATGGAAGATATTTGTGTCTGCAGCTGGAGTATCAACTTGCATTGGTGTTCCCTTCTCGTAGGATCCAGGATATCCACCTGCTGCTACCACAACAGTAGTGCTGAAATAGGGATCGACTTTGAGAGCTACCCCTGAAAGCCAGTGCTCTGTGCAAGCAACCATGATCTTTGCTAAATCTGTATCCTGACTCATCAGGGGCAGTAGAGTTTGTGTCTCGGGGTCACCAAATCTAACATTGTATTCCAAAGTTTTTGGGCCAGTAGGTGTAATCATCAAGCCCGTGAAAAGTGTGCCAACAAAAGGAAAGCCTTCATTTCTCATGCCATCGATTGTAGGTTGTAGAATGGTCTTCTCGACTTGCTCAAGCAGCTCTTTGGTTGCGATTGTCGTAGGCGCATAACAACCCATACCTCCAGTATTAGGGCCTTGATCTCCATCGAAAATTCTCTTATGGTCCTGGGCTGGAGGAAGTGATTTGATGGTGTATCCGTCGCTGAAAGTCAAGATGCTGAGCTCGTCTCCCTCCAAGAACTCCTCAATCACAACTTCATTCCCGGCATCACCAAACTCTCTGTCCAACATAATCTCCTTCAATCCCTTATGTGCCTTCTCCTTTGTTGTAGGAATGAGAACCCCCTTGCCTGCTGCCAACCCACTTGCCTTGAGTACAACATTATGATTGACCGAATCGAGGTACTTTTTGGCGTCTTCGTAGTTTGTGAAGTTCGCGTATGCGGCAGTAGGGATATTGTGTCTTTGCATAAAGTCCTTGGAAAAGGCCTTGCTTCCTTCCATTCGAGCAGCGAGCTTTGAAGGGCCGTAGCAACGAATTCCTGCAGCTCGGAAATACCCCTCAATTCCATCCACCAAAGGCGCTTCTGGGCCTGGAACAACCAAATTGACATTGTTCTTCTGTGCGAGGGCGACAAGTCCTGGATAGTCGTCTGCTTTTACGCTGGAATCGTTTGTGACTTTGGGGCAGTTCGAGGTGCCTCCGTTCCCTGGAACCGCGATAATCGATTCAACCAAAGGGGATTGACTTAATTTCCAAGCCAGAGCATGTTCGCGGCCACCATTGCCCACCAAAAGAATGCGAATGGGATCCATTGTAGCGGGCTTGGAACGAATGCTATGTTGTGTGAAAATCGCTGACTCTTCTGTGCCATCAACTCGTGTTGTGAGAAATTTTTGGCGGGGTAAAAATACGAGTTCAGGGCACCTGCAGGTCAGATACTGGACCGCCTAAACGTCGGGGATCTGCCCCTCTACTCGCGCCGCTCATCGGACGCTAAGATGGATTTTTGACGAATCAATCGACCAATTCGAAGTATAAGTCTTACAACTTTTCAAGTCCCATGACGAGTTTTGAAAGAAATCGATTGCACTGAACCAGGTTGGACATCGGATAACTCAAACACCTCCCAGAGAAATCAGTATAAAACGCGGGTGAGGGATAGCTAAAATGATATCCATCAGTCAGTTTCAACAACTCCATTCCCTGCCAATGGTAGACTGACACCCACCACAGAGGTTCCCTGTTCATCGGCGAACATTGGGCCAGGCTTCGATGTCATTGGCCTTGCTCTCTCAATATGGCTCGAGGTCCAAGTAAACATTGAGGCTAAAGTCACTAACGCACCTCTCAATTGCGTAATCACCTACGAGGGCCAGGGCGCGGAGGAGGTCCCATTGATAGCCGATAGAAATCTGATCACGAGGACAGCGTTGTACGTCCTTCGATGTAACGGCCAGAGAACTTTCCCAGCAGAGACTAAAGTTCACATCATCAATCCTATTCCCCTTGGTCGTGGTTTGGGGTCGTCCGGCGCAGCTGTGGTTGCAGGTGTTGCCTTGGGAAATGAAGTCGGTAAACTGGGGCTGTCTAGGGCTCGAATGCTGGACTATTGCCTGATGATAGGTTCGTCCTCTCTTCTCACAATCTGTACGATTATCTGACTTCTGAATAGAACGACATCCTGATAATGTTGCTGCTGCACTTTATGGAGGCTTCGTTGGGACATATCTCAATGACCTGAGCAAAGAAGATACCGAGCGAAAAGAGATTCCTCTCAGCGAGGTCCTTCCAGCTCCAGCAGGTGGTGTGGATACTGGAATCACTCCTCCAGAGCCGCCGGTCGGGATTGGCCATTACATGAAGTTTCCCTGGGCCAAGGAGCTCAAGGCCATTGCAATCATTCCTCACTTTGAAGTCGCTACCGCTGATGCAAGACGGGTACTGCCAGATACTTACTCTAGAGCGGACGTCGTATTCAATCTTCAAAGAATAGCACTTTTACCATCTGCTCTAGGAAGATCACCACCAGACGCTGAACAAATATACTTAGCAATGCAGGATAAAGTTCACCAGCCATACAGGAAGGGTCTCATACCTGGTCTCCCAGAAATCCTCCAATCAGTCACTCCTAAATCACACCCAGGGCTATGCGGTATATGTCTTTCAGGAGCTGGTCCCACCATTCTCGCTCTGGCAACAGAAAACTTTGACAACATTGCGAAAGTCATTTTGGATATGTTTGCTCAGAAGGATATCGAGTGCGAATGGAAGTTGCTGGAGCCAGCGGAGGATGGGACCACCGTCACTTATAGTTAACGACGGAGGACTGAAATATAGAAATCCATTTCTTCTTGCTTTTCGAGCGGGTCTCAAGACCACCTTCAAGAATCCTATTCTGAATGAGACCAGATTCGACGTATCGCTATACAGCATTTCCACTTGAAGAAGCTACAACAGAATTCAATGCTACCAGATTAGCCGCTCCATAAATGCCCCAGAACATGTTCCCAAATACTCGAACACAACTGTAAATACGCCATCCTAATCAATCGACCCCATCAGCCCAATCCACCCCAAGCTCCGCGAATTCTCCTAGCGAGTTGTATATCCTTCTGCATAATTGTAACTCGCTTCGCGTGGATAGCGCACAAGTTGGTGTCCTCAAACAAATGTACCAGGAATGCCTCCGATGCTTCTTGTAGAGCCATGATAGCTTGTGATTGCCAGCGCATCTCCTCTCCAGGTGGTCGTGTATATGCTGCGATTTCTCGAACCTATCCAACTTGTCAGTCATTGTACCAAACCCCAAAATGACGCGCAACATACCAGACGCGAAAATGGTAGCTTTCTCATCAGGAGATCGGTCGAGTTTTGATATCTTCGGATTTCCTTTAGCGCGAGTGTTCCAGGTCTGTACCTGCGTCTCTTTCGTCCTGGGACTGGATCTCCAGCTACAATTGAAAAGTAATTAGTATTCAATCCCTCAGAAAACAGCTGGAGAATGATGCGCGAGACTCACGTTCAACTTGGCTAATTCCACTGCTTCGACGCTTGACAGGTTTCTTCACGACCTTATTCGCGCTAGCTGGTGATTTTGGTGACTTCTCCTTGGACTTTGCGACAGCAACTCCCTTCTTGCCTTTCCCCGTGGGTGTAGATTTTGGAGGCATGATGGGAGGGTTTGCGCGTATTGAAGGGCAATTATAAAGCTTAGGTGGTCGTGAATTGAGGAGCTATGCGACGAGTATTGTTGAGGATTGAGGTGGCTGGGTGGATCTTGAGGTCGCGACAGGCCCGCGCGTGGTGAATGCACCAATGCGCTTGGGTATCACACGGAATTGAGGTAGCAGATCGTGATCTTTGAAGTCGTCGCGACACCCTATTTATGACAAAGCAAGGGGATTTTGAGGGTTTGTAGTGATATCTCAGGTGTTTGGCAGAATAGATGTGCTTTTCAATGTTTACTTGGCCGCGGTCGACTGGCCATGGTGGTAACCTAGCGAACTTGAAGTGTGGCTGGCGTATTCGGTGGCTAGTGCCGACCTATCGGGTGAACGTTGATCCTCTACATATTGTGCTGTGAAGAAAGTAGCTTGCATTCTCAGCTCCCTAGTAAGTAAGAGCAAAAATAGGGATTGCGTAAAAATAATCTATTCAACGGATTATGGCACAATGTTGAGACAATCACTTCACCTCATGTATTTATAATTTTGCTTTGCGGCGCTTTCCCTGTTCGTCTGATCAAGCAAGCACCATTTCTGGAAGTGACTGGGCGGCGGGCCTTGTGCGAGTACATATGCCGAAGGGACCGAAAGGGACACCTCAACTTCTACAAAGGCACCCCCAGCTATCGCAACATTCCAACTGCTTGAAATTGGACATATTTGTCACCCAGCGCAGCTTACAATTGAAGACCTCCCTCCAAACTTTACACCTTTACAAATTCCTCCCTCCCAGACAACACGATGGACCAAATGATGGGCGCAGGCGATGGCGGCATGGTTGGACAGGCGGGGTTCCCTCTAGAGACTTGGTTTTGGGAGATGCCTTTATGTACGAGATGGTGGACAACAGCTACCGTGGTTGCCAGTGCTCTGGTGCAATGCCAGATAGTTACACCTTTCCAGCTGTTTTATAGTTTCCGGGCGGTATTTCACAAGCACCAGGTATGTCAGAAGTTGAGATGGAGTTATTCAGGCTCTCATCGTTCCCTCGATCTGCACAGCGTGGGGTATTCGATACTTCGGTACTGATCTTTTTTCTCTAGTACTGGAGACTTCTTACTACTTTTGTCTATTTCGGTCCCCTATCCCTCGACCTCGTCTTCCATGTCTTCTTTCTTCAGCGATATTCGCGATTACTCGAAGAATCATCCGGTCGGTCGCCAGCCCATTTCTCGTGGCTCCTTCTATATTCAACCGCCTTCTTGATCTGTTTATCTCCAATGGTATCAATGCCATTTCTAGGACATCCTCTGTCCTCAACACTCGTATACATCTGGTCTAGACGAAACCCAGACGTCAACCTGGGCTTTTTGGGGTTATTAGTGTTCAAGGCTCCTTGGCTCCCTTGGGTATTGATGGGATTTAGTTTGGTAGTCCACGGAGTCATTCCCAAGGACGAACTTATGGGTGTTGTTGTCGGACATATCTGGTATTTCTTCTGCGACGTATATCCACCACTACACAACGGTTCTCGTCCACTCGACCCCCCTATATGGTGGAGGCGACTTTTTGATGGGCCGGCTGAACCAGCGATAGATTCAGATGGCGTTCTTCATAATGTTCCTACGGTAAATGCTGCGGCACCAGCACCGGAAGTGCGATAGAGGGTTGGTATCAAAATATAAAAGGTTACGAAATTGGCATATTTGAGTGGAGTTAGCGGCGCTTGGGAATTGATCATTATGAGTTGGACTTAGGTGTGTTTATTGGAGACAAGGCCGGCGGATTGTTTGGTGTAGAGATAGCGGAATGATACCACTTTCTAATACGATTCCTTTTCCTTTTATATACGATCTCTAAGTCCTTTTCTCATCTTTTGTACTGGCTTTTCTGTGACTACCACTTCCAATTTTTTTCGTATGAGTCAGCGGGTATTTACGCCTGTCGATTTCTTTGATATCTACTTCAACTTATTATTGTATACAAACTTCGTCACTTCCCGTTTTTATACCCAGAAATCAATCTCCAACAACATCAAATCTCCAGGCTTTCAAACCCCTCTCCCACCAACCCCCTTAAAACGGGAGCCTCTGATACAATTACATGAAGCGAACATGCCACTTTAATCCATCTTCGCATCACTATCTCTCCTCCCCCCTTCCTCAGCTTCTTCATCCTTCTCATCTTCAAGTTGCGCATCAGGCGAGACAGGAAAATGCAAGTGCTTCCAATCCTCCAACTCCTCAATAATGGACCTCAGACGATCCCTTATACTCTCAATAGCATAACTCCCCAACAGCAAACGCAAAGGAGGATACGAACAATGACCCAACTGCCAAACCAGATCCGCACATTTCACCACACTCGTCGGCTGCTTATCCCCCAACCACTGAACCATTCTTTTCGCATGCAGCGCTGGAGAATTCGCCTGCGAATACGGTTCACTGGCGGGTTTGATCAGGAAATGTCCCCATGTGGGAAGTGGGCTCTTCTCCCACTCTGGTTCGTCGCGCCGGACGAGCCCGGGTTCCACGAGTGTGGCTTTGATGTTGAAGGAGTCTATTTCGTAGAGCATTGCTTCAATGAGGCCTTCTACCGCATACTTGGTCGCACAATACGGACCCAATCCAGGGACACCCAGCGCACCACTGGTGGAACTGAAAATGAGATACCTCCCCGCACCCTGCTCCCTAAAATAGGGGAGCGAGAGCTGGATAATATGCAGCGTGCCCATGAAGTTTGTCTCGAACTGGTTACGCAGCTCGTGATCGTCCTGGTCTTCGCACGCGCCGATGACGCCGTACCCCGAGCAGTTGGCGATGATGTCGACGTGCCCGAAGTGCTGGATCGCGCCTTCGAGTACTTCTTGCACGCTCTCGCGTGACCGCACGTCGCAGAGTAGCCCGTGGCTGTTGGGGTGCCAGTCTTGCATCGATTCGAGGCTGTTCTCGAAGACCCGGCCTACGGCGACGACGAGGTCGCCTTGGCCGAGACAGGAGCGCACTAGGGAGCTGCCCATGTGGCCTGTTGAGCCGAAGATCTGGGGGGAAGTTAGTTGAAGATATATATCTATCATTTCTTATATTTGAGATTCATTCGGACGGATGAGGGGCACTCATTAAACCACCACGAACATGAAAAGACCCATCTCATCAGCCCCCTCCTCCCCTTCATACAAGCAAAAAAGTACAGCGTACAGCAAGTGAGCGTAAGAATACAAAAAAAAAACTTACAATCCAAACCAACTGCTTAACCCGATTCCCCGGCCCAGGCGGATCACAACTCAACGGCAGCTGCAGTTTCGATTTCTGGCCATCAGTCGAGTGAGGAGACATTCCTTCGTCTTGTTCGTCGCCCTCGACATGATGATCCAGCGACTCGGCCTCCTGGAAATCCATCGCCTTTTCTTAAATGTAAATACCCCTTTCGTAAGAACTGATATTTTCTCAATTTATTATGTTTTTACGTTTTACTGGTATGTTTTAGGGAGCGTTCTGGTTAGCCTTTTTCGTGGCGTGAGGGGGAGGGTGTGCTGGTTCTGCGGTGTTGCTTGTTGCTTGTCGGGGCTGGGAGGTGACTTGGTGCACGTGTTTTTGGAGGGGTTGAAAATTTTGATTTGGGGGGGGGTTTTTTTTTGGTGTTTGGGAGGAGGTTGGAGGAGGGGTTTGATGGGGTTATTGGGGAGTTTGGTGAGGATGGGAATACTTGCTAGTTTTGACGGGTTTGTTCTACTGTGTCGATGGCTCTACTTAGCATGGCATACTAAGCGGGGCCTACCTCTGTAATCTTGAGGACACAACGACAAACCACCGTCCAACACCTCATTGTCAGACCTTCACACATGGCTTTTCACATTGAGAAACGAATCAATCCACATACTCCTTGGAATTCATCGCATCTCGATCCTGGACATGAAGGGTCATGGGAGAGGACACGTTGATTTCCAGTCAGGAAATCATTGGGCGAGACTCGAGGGCAACTCTTTGTGACGGGCTACTTCTTGTTCTCTCAAACCTGCGAGGAAAACAATAATACCACGATTATTGCCAGGCAGCAGAGGGCTGAAGAATATCCATGGAATCAATTGAGAGCCCAAGGAGCTGGGTGGTTCGTGCTGGACATGTTCTTTGCACGTACTTTTCACATGGAGAGGAGAGAGGGAGAAACGTGTGGGTAGGATATTCCTTGAGTGTCTATCTGTTTCCTTGGGAGTGTTTTGTTTCTCGGTTAAGTGACTACTTCCACTCATTTGAGGTGGGTGGGGGATACCAGACTCACTCACTCGTATGGAAGTCACCATATCGTTGCCTTACCTCCACTCAACGTTATCTGATTTTGTTGGATCTAGAGCGAGAAAAGCTAAACGAGCCAGAGAGTTCAATTTCCTCATGTAAGGTGTATAGCTGTCTCATCCAAAAGGGTTGAATGTCTCGATATCTTTATTTACACGAGGTCGGAAGGAGAGGCTGGTTGGAGCGGCACGCTTTTCTCAGGATATCTATCATCTTCTTGATATAGAACGCCCTTTTTTTCTTCTTGTGTTATCTCATTGATTTAGAGATTGTGAGATAGAACAAATTATTGTCGTTTGACATGTTATTTCTTATTGCTTTGTTGCCACTTTCTTTTCAGTGCTTAGATTACAAATTTAGCTTAGACTTCAAGTCTTTTGAATGTTCAGATACATTTTTGTAGGGACGTATGTTTATTCTTTCCTTCATGTATCTCATCGCTTACAGTTGTGTCATATTCCATTGGCGGAAGGCAGACAGCCACATATGCATGTCTTCCACAGCTGGTTTACGCGAGAACCCTAACATCCCAAAATTAATGGCAAGTCACTTTTTAATAACTCTCAATGTCTCTGCACAGCCCAAGCCCAAGCCTTAAGCTATCATGTTCCAGCCTTATGGTTGAGCCAAGTCGCTCATCCCAACTTACCAGTCATATATTGTCTATTTACTCAGAAAATGACTTTTTCTCCAACCAATTTATCGTGAAGATTAGATCTGACCTCTGCAGCTTCTAATTGTGGATCAGCCCTTATCCCTTGAATGACACTTTTCTCCGGCGTTGAATTGAATCTCCACTGCCATGATGACGCCTCAAAACAGGGGATGTTTGGTAAACACGAGGGATGTCGCTGAGGTTTCCGTGGTCGGAGAATCAGAATATGTATATCCATTCAACTGCCTCGTTGGAGAGACTCTTCACACCATCAGCTCACTCTACTTCACAATCTGTACTTCCTTTCTTGGACTCTTCCTTGACACAATCGCTTAGTTTTCGACTCATCTCAACATCCACATCACTGAAATTCTCTTTCATCCCGGAATCAATACACTCTTAAATCATCTATCTCGCCATCATGATGTTCTTCACTCCCATCATCGTAGCTTTTCTTGCGTCTCTTGCCACAGCAGCACGTCCACAATGTGCCCCACCAGCGCCTCCAGCACCTCCTCAAACAGTGTATAAAACTCTCACCGAGACAGTCACTTCCTACAAGGTGAAGGACCCAAAGCCCACTCCTCCCCCAGCTCCGGCTCCTCTCCCAGAACAAGTTGTGGTCACGAAAAACGGATACATCACCTCTTGCGATTACGGTGCTTCCATCACTACCGTCTATGTCTGGCCCACAGGCTCACCTAGCTATGATTCCACGGTTGCTCTCTTCGATATATACAACATTGCTATCAATGTATATATCATCAACATCAACGTGGTGGTCAACAACTATGGCGTCGCTGAAATCGTCACCAAGACTAAGAGGGAAAAACCAACTTCGACTCCGGCTCCTCTTCCTCCGCTACTACCGGTGACTACCAAGTCGGTCTCTTCAACTTCGCCAACAAGCAAGCCGACTTCTACTACCAGCAGCCTAACCTCTCCAACCAGCAAACCCGTCTCGCCTACTTCTCCTACCAGCAAACCCGTCTCCCCAACCTCACCAACAAGCAAGCCAACCTCCCCAACCAGCAAACCAATCTCCACCCCCTCTCCAATCCCCAGCTCCAAGCCCGCCTCCTCCCCAGCACCCAGCTCCAAGCCAACAATCCCCTCACCCATCCCAAGCCCCAGCCTCAAGCCTTCCGAGCCCGCTGTGAAGCCAACTACACCACTGGCTGGCATCCCCGTCAAATCGTCCGAGCCTGATGTGAAGGCTACGCCAGCTCCTGCTCCAAAGATGGTGCGTGAGTGGAATGCGTTGATGGATTCTTTGTTTCTGTGTGTATTTGGCGGAGAAGGGGGAGGGGAAGGGGGAATGGAAAAAAGGGATAGCACATGTTTTATCACTCTCTTGATCTTGGATTATATTTTCGTCTTTACATTTTCTTTGTGGGCAAAGGGGAGGGGGGAAATAATTGGGTGTTGATGTTTTTTTTTTGGTGGGATGTTGATGGGTCCTTTCTCTTCTTTTGTTTTTAATCGTTTTTCTTCTGGTCTCAGGGTGTAGCTCCATAGATGTCTTGTAAGCTTAGGGAGGGGATTGGAGGATATTGAATAGAATAGATTGTTTTGTAAAACCTTTTCGATTTCCCATTGTGAACTCGGTTAGCCTAGCCTACTAGGCTTTTTACTATTTTGCTGGTAAGTAGTTTGCTTGTTGTAGATACTTCTATCGTGTATGGTAACTAGTTGTGTACGGAGTACAGACAAACCTTGGGACCCAGTAAATCGACGCCCCCCCCCTCGCCTGATTATATTCGAAATTCACTGCTCTTATTCCTATAGTAAATACAGTTCATTTTCGGGCGATTAGGTTTGTTTTTTTAGACAAGTAGTGGGGCAATAAAACCTTTTACCTACGCACGCACCGTAAACCTAATTTTGAACTTGACTCGAAAGCTACCGACCTATTCGCACTTACGACGTAAGATTACCGCAAAATGGATGATCAACCAGAGTGAGCTCCTGCAACGCAATTGCGTCGCCTGAGAAAACGGTACAAAATGAGTAATTGTAAGCTCAACTTAATTTAATTCAATTGATTTTATTTATAATTATTTAGTACTTGTAATTAATACTTATGGATAGGGCTGTTTACGAGAAATAGATATTGTAATATCGCTATGGACGGGCTTTCTGTAAGACTTGGTTACGGGCCTAAAAGTGTACTTAATGACTTGATTTTTTTTTTAAGAAATACTCGTTTAATAGTAATGAATAGATTTATAAATATGTTCTCAGCCGCCGAGCTGGCAGCTGAGCCTCGTACCCAATATTCGTAGGGAAACACTAAAGCAAGTTACGAGATCAACTCGTAGATTAGCTAGATTTAGACGAGTAGAAGTACCGCATACCCTTAGGGTGGTCTTTACGCTTAGCGGTGTAAGACGAATAATAATAGATTTATAATAAGTAACAGGCGATCACCGTACTTTTAGATACGTGGTGTTAAGAGAAACGTAGAGTTGTTGCGAATGACGTACCAAAAGCACGGACTACCAATTAGGCGAAAGGGGGGGGGTGCGTCGATTTACCAAGTCCCGCAAACCTGGATATAAGGATATTAGATCCAAGGATGACCTTGGCTATATCCTTAAAAACCTGTCCCCCGAGAATATCCTTATATCCAGGTTTGCCTGTATACCTGTAAGATTACTAGAAGCAGGATGCTATGATACCTCTACTTGGGGGCAAGAAGGGATATTCTCCCGTACGTTGTTAGTTCATCGAGATGCGGATGTGATTGGTGGTTTAGTTGCCGCTTTTGGGACTTTGGGACTGTGGGAAATGTTTCTAGATTTGGACAAGGTGACAAGGTTTATTGGCATACATACTATATCGGGATAGGAAATCCTACGATTTCGATGATTTTCGTTGGAAAGGTAAGGATACCGATATTGATAGTTTGTTTCGAGAATTGGTGGGTGCTTGAGGCATTTGGGGGGAATATTAGATATGTTAAGTAAAATTCAAATTATTTGATGTTGATATACCATGCCTAGGTAAATGTAAAGAGGACCAACGTACCAGGTACTTGGTAGGTACCTAGGAAAGGAGGCTGGTGGGGGTAGCCGAAGAGGAGAAGGGGCGGCCCGATTAGAGCAACGCCAATTTAAAACTAGAGCACGTTAAGTCTAAAACGATTTTATGATTTTCCACGTTGCATATGCCATAATCGGTATGTTGTCGTCAAAAATCCGATATTCCACCGTGAACATATGTATCCGATACGATTATTTCAAGAGGACTTCCGATGTCCTAACTAACGTTGTTGCCTATCGTTCCTAAGTGAATACTTCCTGCGGACCCTTGTGGCGCTGCCCGCCTTAAGTCCGTTGGCTTCTTAGGCCTGTTTGCTTCGACCTCAGTCTCACCAGTCCTTTAGAGTCGCAACTTGTTCTCTGGAGACCAAGGTCGCAAATATGGCTCGCCATACCCGCTCGAGTATTAGGTTAAAGGAGAGTAATGACGACGTAGCTCCGAGACAGAAATCGCCTGCGAACAAACATCGTAGAGCAAGATACAAGGGCCGCGTTAAATACGATCTACCAAAGAAGAAGAAGCATTGCAGTGCACTTGATGCCTTTAAGGTGAGACAATAATTGCACGTCAATTCTTTCCACACAGGAGGAAATAGGACATCAAGGAGGATTACTTCTCTCTAACATTCATCAGGTCAAGAAAGGAGGTGCTGATGGAAAGATTCGGATGATACCTGTCGCAAAAGAAGATGGTATTCATGTAAGACAATCCTTAATCCTTGTAATAATCTTCCATTTGACTTCAACTTATTTATTCTTGCTGTACAGTCGGAGCAATGGGCTCTTTCGATCGTTCCACAGCCTGAATCACTACTGCTATCCCTACCTTTAGAACTTCGCAGGAAAATCTATATTTCTATCCTCAATTGTCCTCATCATGATTGGGCGGTGGAGCCTAAAAAGAAACGAAATTGTTACGTCAACACTAGATCGCGATGTCCTCCAGGCCAGAAATGTGAAGTAATCAAAGACCTCAACACCCTATCTCTACTCAGCAAGCAAATATACCTGGAGGTCGTTGGAAGTAGCCTCTTTTACCAAGTCACACCTTTTACCTTTCGAAGTCCCTATATGATGGACTCATTTCTCAACAATATCAGCCCCATCCACCGAACCGCTCTTCGCAAGCTCCGAGTGGATATTCGTCTCCGGTCCTCATTCGGTCAGCATCCTGCTATACCCACTGCTCTCTTCCGTTCTCTGTCTTCCCTCGCTGGCCTCACACATTTGAAAATCGCCATTAGAATTGACGCTGATTTATGTGATCCGACGATGAAGCTGGGGCTTCGCACCAAATACGCGGTCAAGGAAGAAGTGCAGGAGAAGTGGAGAGCCGCCAAATGGGATTTGTTGGGAGGATTGGGGGTGTTGAGCAAGCTTGAGGTTATGGTTTGGGCTTCTATTTCGAGGCGTACTATGACTCCGAACGGGTGGACATGGTCCTATGAGGGGGGATGGCTGGATATTGATAAAAGTATATGGGCCCTTTCTTGAAATGTCTGGAGTTAAGTGGTGCGCCTTGTGGGAAAGGTTTGGTGGTATACTTGGGAAGGGGCTGTATTACGTCTGATTCATGAGGAATTATTTAGTGAGTTCTATCTACACAAAGTCTAAGAATTTTCGCATCTCATTAGTGGATAGGTTGTGCGTCCTTTTATATGATTCGTTGAAAAAAGGGTGAGGGTCATACATTTCGATAGCGGGCATACCAAGCACAAATACATCAGGAGTAGAAATTCAAAACTATAACCCAAACTCCAGAAACTCGTATTATTCAAGTGGAGAAACAAAGATCTGTTCCATAACTCACTCCAGATCTCGAAGCCCCTGAAACCTTGGAACAAAGAAACGACAGAAGCTTCGCTCTCCAAGACTAATTTACTTTCATGTTTCTAGAGTTCTACCGTATATACCAAGTCATTTGTCTCCTGAAATTATGGACATTTGCAACCAATTACACCACCGAAGATTTGCTCTAGAAGAAATTGGATCTGGTAAGAGAAGAAGGAAGAACAATCTTTCTTTTTTATAACAGCTTCATTATAGCTAATCTCCAGTTTCGGACGATTATGGAGCAAAGACAAGGTAATTGGTCCAAAAAGGTATTCAAAAATATGGTTGCTTGTTTACTAGGATTGATAGCGATTGTACTTGTTTACGACGTACTGTTTGTTTACTACCTTATCTACGGACTTCCGCACGATCTGCGGTATGGGGTCCCGAAGTTATTATCTATTATGTCGTCTTATTCGCTATTTTATAGACTTATCTCCTGCATTGTTTAGAGGTTTGGGCCCTTAGATCGTCTTATAAAGGCTTTATCTGGTGGCTTCCCCCTTCCACCTACCACCCGCACCAGCCACCTACTCCGGCCATCCCCCGCCCTCTCGGCCCGGCACCGCAACTACCACTAACGCTTACTGCGACCCGCCTTTAGTTCCTATACGGGTACTTACGTACTTACGGAAGTACTTATACGTAGGCACGGGATAGCAGGCTCGTGCAAACCCCCTGGTGCCTCTCGGCCGCGCGTTATGACATCTGATCTCACGTGTTTTTGACTCTCATTGTAGTAGGTTGAGGCATAACACAGAAATATTAAGCGAGGCTTGACCCAAAAGTCCCTGGATTTTCATCCTCGTCTGAGCCTGTGTACAGACTTCGCTTAGACCAGGGTTTTCTTATATGGCTGTCAACAGATGGACAAAATAACCTGTAATCTCTTGGCCTGTGAACTATCTTCGCTAATTTACTGAAGTCCTACTTATTTTCATATCACTTTTGATAATAGGGTGATGAAATTAGGCCAGAACGCGCGGACAAAAAACTGCAGTTTATTTTGTCAATTTGGTGGATGTATATAAGCAGAGTTTACTCGTCCAATATTAGCTCCTTAGAGCATTTCAACTATAAATTACTACTATACTGTAAGATTTACGTGATACTGTATTGTCAATCTGCCCGGGTGGTTTCCTAAAGTCACGTGACGAGGGTCAACTTGTACCTCACAAACCGTTAGAGAGATAGGCTCTTGAACTGAGATTCATATATTGCTACAGTGCTTTGTTTTTAGGTGACGTGTTGTTACAGTCCCACTAATGTAGTTCTCGGAAAAGTGTTGAATAGACTGATCTTTGGAAACTCAACTTGAATATAAAAGGTTAATCCAATTACAATGCAGTCTTTTGATTGGAAGTTTTTGCTAAATAGCGTATCACAGAAGGCCGAGGGTTTTAGTAAAACACTCCCGCTCTTCATCTGAAAATAACCTTTTCCGGAAACCACAGCAGGGTGACTGTACGTGATGAGATATCATGAACTTTCTGTTTAGCATTGCCAAGCAATCAGAATGGGCCCCCCAAAACAATCCTACATACTGTACGCGAGGGTCTAAGGGTAAATTATTCCAGGACGATTTTGACACCGACTACCATACTACAACATCAAGTCACATCCACATTTCAGTACACTTCAATGAACCATTACTTGTATGAATTAATATCTCAGTTGATTTGCCCCCAAGTATTTTGTAATCATGTAGCCTCTTATCATGTCAAATGTGCAGTTCCTGTGGCTTTTTGGGTGGTCAATTTAGGCGTAAGCCTTTGTGTCAAAATCGGCCCTGAATAATTCACCCTTAGAGACCCGGTTTAAAACCCCCCGAACAGTGCAGGAGATACTAGTTTTAGCGAGGAGTGTTTGTGTCTACATAGGGTGTACTTTCCCTCTGTAGCTAGAAATCAAGTCACTTTTCGCTTGTCTTTTTGGCTCATTCATACCATCTTTTGTGCCCCAGATTCTACTTCAATGGCCAGAAGCTAGGGGGCTGAACCTTTTTGAAATTCAAACTCATACAAACTTGCCGAAAGTTGAAAGGTTTGGAGATTTCAAGTGCGTTTCAAAAACTTCACAATCTTTTGCATACTGCCATTGTAAAGTAAGCTGCTATCATCATGAATACAGCATTGTAAGCTGAGCAATCGATTCCCGATGTGGTTCCAAACTCCGAAAAATCCACTTACATATATCAATCTTCGGGGAAAATCAACATACCTGCTAGTTCGAGGGACGTAACTACGGAAGCTGGAGGAGACGACAAAATTTATCTTTCAGGATGGCGCCTGCATGTTATCATCGTCGCGTATGTATGCCCCTTAGCTAAATAACCAAGGCTGATTGATCTCTTTAGCTTGTGCTTAGCCATGTTTCTGCCAAACTTCGAGATCTCCATCGTCAGCACAAGTCTCTTGACAATAACTTCGGATCTAAAAGCTGTTAAAATAAGCAGCTGGGTCGTTGATGCATATTTGATCACATATACTGGTAAGTAACTGACATGGTTCGAGGGTTTTGTGCTGAGTAGCCAAGGGCTCTTGATCGCATGGGCAAAAATGAGCGATATATTCGGACGTAAACTATCTTTGTTAACGGCACTGGCTACGTTTATGGCTTTCTCGGGGGGTTGTGGAGCAGCTCAAACGATGAAACAGCTGTAGGTCCTCTATCTCAGGCCCCCAACTTCAATGGCTGCGTCGTTGACAATAAATTAGAATAATATTCCGTGCTTTTCAAGGAATTGGCGCCTCTGGGGTTTATGCTCTAGGCATGATCGTATTCCTTGAGCTGGTTCCAAAAACCAGATACACTCTGATTTCCACCTTGATAAGTGGAACATTTGGTCTGGCACTGGCACTTGGACCCATTTGCGGAGGAGCCATCAATGAGCCTATAACTTGGAGATGGGTTTTCCTTCTGAAGTAAGCTCGTTCCGTATAAATCTTCTGGAACTGGGTTTTTGGAGTCCACATTCTAACTTCTTCCTCGCAGTATTCCGGCGGGCGCTATCTCTTTGATCCTTCTCGCAATCATCTTCCCTTCAAATTTCCCCAACGTCCAGACCCCCTCTACCGGATTTTTGTCGATGTTCCGCGGATTATTATCAGCAAAACATATCAACCGGGTGGACCTTCTCGGAACTGCGCTTCTTTTAGGAGCTGGCATATTTGCTATTACAGCAGTTCAACAGGTTGAAGTTCATGGGAATTGGTCTTCAGCGTTGACCATCTCGCTACTCGTACTCTCTGGACCCCTCTTTGCATTATTTCTCTGGCGGGAAAGATGTGTTACACGTGCGAGTGAAGAATCTGATACCGAGCCGGTATTCCCATGGCGTTTTGTTGAGAATCGAGTGTGGATGGCGATGATAATGTATGTGTTTTACTTGCCTAGTCACCAAGTAAGAATTTCGATTAAACTTTCTAGGAACACTTTCTTTGTTGGGACAGTTTTCACAACTTTGATTATTCAAATCCCGTTGCGACTGCAGGCGGTAAATGGTTTCTCTGTAAGCAAGAACTTTACACGGTTTATCATTGCATAATTGCAGTACCGTCATGCGATTGAAGCCTGCCACAAGAGGAATTGGAATGCTGACAAATAAAATACACACTAAAGGCGGGTGTATATTTGTTGCCCTATGGTCTACTTGCGCCTCCAGGAGGCCTGTTCTGTAACTGGCTCATGGGGAAAAAGAACTTACCTCCAATCGTGGTTTTCTTCACAGGAGCCTCAATCCAAACAGTGGCAGTAGCCTTATTGAGTATTCTTCCTACGACTGAGCACTTCTGGATGCCATCATTGGGATACGAGGTCATGGCTGGTTTCGGTACTGGCATGAATTTGGGCGGTCTCCTCATGGTGGCTCCTTACGTCTGTGAAGAACGCGATCTATGTAAATCATCCTTGGATATTGGTTCTGAAGCATGCTAATGGATAAATAGCTGTTGGTTCGGCTGCAATTAACCAATTTCGTTTTCTTGGAGGCTCCTTTGGTCTTGCTATCGTGAGTAGCGTAATGTATAGCTACACTCGCGGAAAGTACGAAGATTTCTTGCCACCGGAGATAATCAAAGCATTATTGGAGTCACTGACAGTCGTCGAAAATCTCCAGCCAGCAGTACGAGAAAGAGTTCGACAGGTGTTAGCAGAGGGATATAATTTGCAGATGAAGATCTTGATTGGATTCGCAATGTTACAGATCGTGACCACTGTTCTGATGTGGGAGAAGAAAGTGAGAAGAATAAAAGGATGAGAGCTGGCTTTTCCTTTAGTGGCATTGTAATTTCTAGACATCAAATTAGAGTAGAGATAAGTAGACAAAGTCTAGTGTGATTAGGACAAGAGCATTCTCATACAGATGTGCAATACACGTGTATTCAGACGTCCGTACACGAATATCAACCTGTTTGCTCATTTCTCCAATCTTTTAGATGGATTGTAATCTTTGATTTCATAGTTCTCTTAGGGTACCAACCTTCTTATTCTACGATATTCTGTTAGCTATTTTGACCAATCGAAATAATTGCAACCGTATAAAATAAACATGTCCTACTCTTCCCGCCCAAGGTGAGGTGAGCGCTTGTCTCTGACTGCTTAGCGATGACCGTTTAAGCAAAGGTTACATATAAATCAGTCCGCTCTAATACCGCACCTTGATGTTAGCAAATGAAATTAAAAGTCCTAATACACGGCATAAGGAAGGAAGGTTGAGGTCGCACCTTCCATTAATGGCCTTACAGTATGGACAACGTAGATAGGCAGCGAGAGAATTGCCCCACAGCCCATACCATCAAACTTCTTTTTCTTCACTCGTCATCTCATCGTAGTCTGTAAATCTCACAAGACATCGAAGAGGAAGTAACCAATTCCACAGTTACACCCTTTCACCATTTCGGAAATAGTACCACCAAATCTTACACCGCTACAGAAGTTACAGTTACACCATAACTCGGTATAATCATCCTCGCGAAGTCTAATCAACCCCCTCAACTTGCAGACAAGCATCATGGAAAACAATCCGGAAAACACTTTTGAGTACGAACCACTCAGCACCGAACATGCACATCCAATACGCCTTCTATCGCTACTTCCCTCCTCAGATTTCAAAGCAGAAATCAAATGCGAAATATTCAATACCAGCCTTGAAGATAAACCAATTTTCGAAGCGCTGTCATATACGTGGGGCGATCCCAAAGACCTCATTCCCATTTTGCTTCATGGCCGACCTCATCAAATCCCTCGGAACCTTGAATCTGCACTTCGCCATCTCCGCCTCCCTGACCGAACAAGAGTTCTTTGGGTTGATGCCATGTGCATTAATCAGTCAGACATTCCTGAGAGAAATCAGCAAGTCTCAAAAAGGAGGGATATCTATACTATGGGTGGGGCCCAGAAAGTCGTTGTTTGGCTGGGAAGAATAAAAAATGCACAACTTGGACTGGACTTTTGTGCGAAGCTAGCTGAGGAACAACCAGCATATGCGCGCTCTTCAGCATTCAAGGTGGAGTGGGAGGCTTGCCATGACATATTTATGAGGAACCCATGGTGGTCCAGAGCATGGATTGTCCAAGAAGTGGTTCACACTAACGAAGTAGTCGTTCACATTGGTGGTTCGAAATCCATATCAATCGAAAGCCTCTGCGAGAAGTTTAAAGCTTATGAAAGCAGATCGTGGATTATAAGATTATTCTGGGATTGGACTGAGGAAGAACTTCAGAAGGACGATAAAGAGGCAGCGATAGATCCCCGTCTGCTAGAAGAAGAGTGGTATATACAGATGATAGCCGTTCAACATCTAAATCATGCTACTACAAAGATCTCAAATACTAGAAAGGATGCAAATCTTTCTCCTCCTGAAAGACTGTTCTTGCCTTCACTACTCTGTACATTTCGCGATCAGAAGGCTACGGACTTTCATGACAAGATTTACGCCTCCCAATGCATGGCGTTCGACACCCCGGCGCGAAACGACATTCCCATAGACTATAAAATTTCCAAGCAAAAGCTATACACCATCGCAACCCGCGTTTTCACCAGAGAGCACATATTCCCTCTACTTCTAGTCGAATCAAATCAGAAACCGGTATCTAGCACATCAGAGCTGGCTTCATGGGTCATTGACTTTGAAATGACGCAAAACTTATCTCAAAGAAAACATTTCTCGATTTTTACTTTCTTTGATGCCAGCAAAGGGTTTCCGCCTGTTGAATATGAGCCTCGATTGTTCGACTCCCTTGATTATACGGTATTGCCACTTCGAGGTATCTATGTGGCAACAGTTACTGGTGTTTTTGAGACTCACATAACTAATCACAGAGATCTCGTTGACCTGGATAGCTTGAAACTCATCCGTTACTCTGAAGAACCCCAACATCGGAATCGAGATTTCGTCGAGGACCCTCCGACACCATGGCAAACCCATGACCAAGAGACCGGCTCAGCTATCATCTCACAGGGTAACACATCATGGGGTCCAATATATTCAGATGTAGGTGACATTATTGTTGTGGTTGCAGGTTTCGAATTACCTGTGGTTTTGCGAATGTTTCAAAAGGAGAAATATCTTTTTGTGGGAGCATGCCTTTTGATTGAGAGGGAGATGGAGAAGTTTTCTACTTACAAATCGGACCCAGCGTTCTCAGATATTATGCACGGGCGTGCATGCGAAGGGTTGCCTGACGACTACGAAGCGGAGATCTTTGACATTTACTGAGGTTGTAGATACAGAGACGACAAAGGCAGCAATGTTTGTTTCTTCTCTACCGGAAGCCTAGCATAATTGATGATCCCGATAGGTGACGTTTGTGTTCCTGGAGTATGATTGACTAGGTCAACTCTTTACATTTTGTACAGTACTAATGGCATAGGAAGCGTATTATACACAAATAATGTATTTGAGGGGTGGATAATTGATTGATAATTTCCCAAAAACGAAACGACTGAAGTATATTCAACCCCAAATACAAATCTAGTACACCTCAATCTCATTCTTCTTCGCAGGCTGGGCATTCTCAACCGGCTCACCCTCCTTCATCCCACCCATAATCAAATATTCCGGAGCCTTCGCCTGTTCCTCAGCCGAAGCAAGGAATGCAAAGAACTTCTCGTCGTGCCATTGACCTGCAGTGATGTATCTTCCCTCACTATCCTTCAGCATGGTGTCGTCCTCAGCTCTGAGGAAATAAGCGATTGAGTATCGGTGCTCACTGGGATCCAATGGGACGACTCTATGAATGCAAGATTGCATCGTGAGTCCACTGGCAAATCGAAGCGAGTCACCAACATTGACGATGGCTGTACCAGGCTTTGGTGCGACGAATCCGAACTCCTTGGATCCAGGTGGTCTGATCTGAAGACCCCATTGCTCGCTGAAGAGCAAGGTCAAGGAACTGATGTCGGTATGCTTTTGGTGTCCGATATTCTTCGGATCAACTGGCTTGGTTGGAATGTAGTGCATCATTGCCAATGTACTCGTTGAAGGACGATCGTTTCGGTGTGAGTTCTCAAATCGAGAAGCTCCAGTGAGACCAAGTCCAGTTGACAGACCGGACAGAATTGATTTAGTAATGATGTTTGATCCAGCAATGGCATTCTCCAAGACCTTGATATCGGAGCTGTTCTTGATGTTCTTTGGAATATGTGGAGAATCTCTTTGGATTTCGTCACGAGAGACCTTCTCACTGTCAATGTTGGTTTCGCGAAATGAGAATCAAAAGACCCACCTTGATCATTTCATATCCGTCTTTGGTATCATCCAAAACACCCGTACGAGAACCAACTGGCTCGTAACTATGACTGTTAGTAAGATACTTGACCTAAGGGAACCTCTACTCACCCCAAATGTGGAGCAACAAGTCCATACTCGTTTTTCACTTCGATAGGGGCGTCAAAGAAGTTCTTCATCAAACGCAAAGTCTCTTGTTGGTCCTCCAACATTCTACGACCATCGATACCTTGAAGGTTGAGATAGAAGAATCCCTCAGTCTGGCAGCATTTCACCAATCTCTCCAACTCAGCTGGTTCTTGTGAAAGAAGTCGTGAAAAATCAATGGTTTCCATGGGATACACGGGGACCTTCTTCCCGGCCCAATCGACAGTCTGGGGAATTTCGGTTGAGATAGCCATGATGGATTGTGTCACAATGGGTTGATATTTGGAAATTGAGGATGGAAAAGAGATACTTAGGTGCCAGTTCACCTCTGACACTTATATAAGTTTTCAGGACGCCAGAATATGCGGCCTCTGATCCCCCCACCCTCAATTATGGTTACAGTATCGGGGAAAATAGCCATATTAAAGCTTTCCTAGGCTACGCAAAAAAACTCTTGGATCGAAAGCCAAGTACCAAAGATCCACAGGCTTAATACAACAAGCTGATCACAAGTATCAGCATGTATATACCCCTTAAATCACCTCGCTTAGTAAAAGCTGCCATTCGGGGCGCGGGCCATCTTACCCGATGTAATATCGCGAGGCTTTATATATCGGAAATGGGTATTAACGAATTAAATGCTTCTGCAGTACGTGTCAACTAGCACGTCGACCGGAAAGAAATGAGGGGTTTTCAACGTGGAAAAGTATATTTGGCAGGTAATGTGGGGCAAAGGTGCGGGGTAGTGACATTGAGTTTCACTGCTACGATAATGACTTTGTACCATATGTGAGACTTTGATAGGTACGTCCATACTTTAACCCACGTCAGAATTACAGCTGCCGTTTGCTGAGGTATTAGCAGAATTTAGGCACGAAAATATGTGTGTGCTAAATAGAGGCTAAATACCAATCTTGCCAGGAAACTGTCCATTGCAAATCTGCACTACATTGGGCGCTATGAAGCTACCATGGAAAAGAGTGGTTGTGGGAGTTATATTGCGCTTCTCAATCAGGCATATCTTGCATCATAGCGACGATCTTGATGCAGGTTATACTCTTGGCAATACTTATATCCACGAGTTGGATCGAATTTTCTAACCATCTTTGCCAGTTCTAGGGCTCTACTTTTGAGATAGGGCTCCTTCAAGTCAGGGTTATCCACCAACCATAGAACGGTACAACAGCTTTAATTTGGATAAGATCACGACATGTTATCATGTACTTTCTCACGAGCATTCCCGGCGGGAGGCTGTATACCCTTTTATATACTTACACTGCGTGTGTGCTGCCTCTCTGAATACCCTCCTCACTTAAATTTGAATCTCACTCTTGGCACTGTTTGAACCAATAAATACGATGAAATTAATAAGTCTGATCCTGATTGCTGGAATGGGCGTTCACGCCTGTGAAAGAAATCGCCAATTCCACAATCAGCATACACAATTCAAACGGGAAGATGTGAATGCTACTTTCCCACCAATCCTTGACGCGAATGAGCAGATCTTGGTGGATTCATTTGATAATACCTCGATATCAACATGGTCGTATTACTTCAGTGTGTTGTTCCTTATCTGTGGTGTGTAACACAAAAACTAATCGTAGATAGCTCATGGACGGGTCGTTGCGGGGGAAAACAAAACAATGGCAGAGTGGACGGCTGAGCAGTGGGCTAAATATGGGTTCAAAACAAGGCTAGACGAATATTGTGAGAGCCTTCACTTGAACAAATCTTCATAAAACAAGTATTGATTCTTTTTGAGATGTTTACTTAAACTATCCTGTTGAGCAATCACTGGAGCTCACTTACCTCAATGGGAGTACATTCAAAGCAACATTTAAAGAAGATGTTCTTGACGAGGACGAAACCACAAGTTATGCTTCATCCTTATTTGAGTGTTTCCTTTAATTGATCTTTTGCAGTTACCCCAATCGAGTTCCAGCTTTTCATGGGTACTCATTTTCAGGCAATGCTTCAGGAGAATACGTCTACGTTGGTAAGCACAGTGCACCACTACAACCCGTCAAAATCTAACAAGAATCCAGGGCGTGGACGAAAAGAAGACTTTGAGCAACTCAAACGCCTAGGTGTAGATCTAAAAGGTAAAATCGCACTCGCAAGATACGGCGGCCCGTTTAGAGGCATCAAAGTCAAAAACGCCCAAAACAATGGAATGGTTGGGGCAATAGTCTTCACCGATCCTGTTGATGATGGGAACGTAACGGAAGCGAAAGGTGTGCTTGCATATCCGAAGGGACCCGCACGAAATCCTACGAGTATTCAGAGAGGAAGTGTGCAATTTCTTTCTGAATATGCAGGAGATCCTACCACCTTGGGATATCCATCGAAAGAAGACTCGCCAAGATTGACACCAACTAACCTAGCACATATCCCATCACTTCCTCTCTCTTGGATTGAAGCGCAGCCTATTCTTCAGGCTCTTGATGGGTGTGGAACGGATGGAGAGAGTGTGGGCCGTGAAAATTGGATTGGCGCGATTCCAAATGTAAATTATAGTACTGGTCCAGCACCTGGAGTAACTTTGTCCATGAACAATGTCATGGAAGACAAAATAACTCCGATTTGGAATGTAATTGGGATAATCAATGGTACAAATGAGGATGAGGTAGTGATTGTTGGAAACCATCGGGATGCTTGGGTAGTCGGTGGAGCAGGTGAGTTTGTCTCTCAACTAAGAGAATATCCCTTAACAGGTTCCATAGCCGATCCACATTCTGGATCAGCAATCGTGATTGAGCTAGCAAAGGCGTTTGGTTCCTTACTCAAAACGGGATGGAAACCAAAACGTACTATTATCCTAGCATCATGGGACGCAGAAGAGTACGGACTCGTTGGCTCTACCGAATGGGTTGAGGAGTACGTTCCCTGGCTGAAAGAACGTGCGATAGCCTATCTCAACATTGATGTTGGAATCTCGGGTCCTATACCAGATTTCTCTGCTACACCAGATCTTCATAAGATCACGACCTCTGTCGGAAAAAAGATTGTCTGGCCGACAACTGAAAACCGCACGCTGTACGATGTAACTTCAGACTATTTTGGAGAACAGCCATACGAGGTGCTAGGAAGTGGTAGCGACTACACTGCCTTCGTGCACAGCGGAATCGCGTCCATTGATACAGGATCTACCCGAGGCCCAGATGCCCCAGTTTACCACTACCATTCAAACTTCGATTCCTACCATTGGATGTCCACATTCGCCGATCCAGGATTTAAGTTCCATAAAGCCATGGGGCAGTTCCTCACGCTATACCTGTATCATATGGTAAATGACGACTCCGTGCCTCTTGACCCCGCAAACTATGGCCTGGAAATGCGAGTGTATTTCGAAGACCTACAGTCAGACCTTAAATCAATCAACATCACATTAGACATCACCGCAATCGATGACGCTATCTCGACTTTCGAAGAATCAGCCCAGCAATTCAATAACCTGCGTGACATGGCCACATCTCTCAATCATTCCAAGGTGCTAACAGAGTTAAACCACAAAGCTCGTGACTTTTCTCGAGGCTTCCTCAATGAAGAAGGTTCCGCCGGACGCCCTTTTTTCAAGAACCTCATATTTGCTCCTGGCACTGATACTGGATATGCCCCGGTCATCTTCCCAGGTGTGTCGGAAGCTGTAGATGCTGGGGATTTTGCTTTGGCTGCCGAGTTTGTTAAGAAAACAGCTGATGCAATTCTAGCCGCATCTGATATTCTCAGACCAGGTCTAGTGGGAAGAGGACTTGGTGGAGTGCCAATCTTGGAGTGAGATGACTGTCTTTTCATCCCAAATCGCAAAGAAGCTACAGCTTACAGAAACATCTGTCGTAGGTAGTTGAAGCAAAATTTATATCCACTTAGCCAATCCGGGTGCAAATTAAATTTTATCTTCTGTGGTTGAAAGTCTTCGTTGATGTCCGTGTTCGTGGTGAGATTCTGGTGTTCTACCGAACATGCTAGCTACTCTGGAGTCCTAGAGTCTTGCCTTTGATAGGTAAGCACCCAAATAAGAGCGTCTGCTATCACCAATGGGCCTCGGCGTGGACGCCACCAGTTCGGCCACCTGGTAAAGTGGAACGCTCCCTGCCCTAGTGGAAGGAAAAGCACGACTGCCATTGGTATCGACAAGCGTAAATAGAGACTTAGGACGGGCGGGTCCGAACTCTTTTGCCGCTTGAAGTGATTTTTTTCAGTTGTGTTTTGGTGTGTTTGTGGATTCCTTTTATTTTTTGGGTATCTTTTAGGTGGTGTTTACCTGTTTTGTTTTGCTAAGCGAGTCACCTTAATTATCCCGAAGATTTAGAGTAACGGGGAGATTATTCACTGACACTTTTAATGTCCATCATGAGTGGAAATACGTACTATGCGCGCATAATCAATCACAACGCGACGTGTTATAACTTGTCGCGACCTCCGTTCAAATAATCCCAAGGCAAAATAATATACGACAAACTCCTTGAAAGATCTGGTAACACCTGGAAAACACCGAGATTTCAGGTCATCCATCCTCTCATTGGTCCATAAACGCAGAAGGACTACGTCTGCAAGGTCGCGTCAGGTTATCAGCCACGGTGACACAGCAAAGCAGGGGTCTTTTACGAGGAAGGGATGCCGAAAAGCTTTCGCATAGACATCAATTCACCTTTTCTGAATCGGGCACCACCGACTTCCACTAAGATCGATAGGATGAGATGAAATTGTAAGCTAAATGGCTATTCCGTAACATTAGCTGTCGTATGTTGGAGACCGTTGTTGTATAGAGACATGAAGTGAATGTGTTCGGTGGCGATCTTGGTCCTTGGAAATGGATATATATATATGACTTGACAACAAGAACGATGATTTTGTTTCTTCATCATTCCACCATCCTTTTGTTCTCAAATCTATAACCATCATAACCACAATGAAGTTCAACCAGCTCAAATACGCCGGCCTTGTAGCCATCCAGCTCGCGTCAAACATAGTAAGCGCAGCCGTTGTTGACAAGCGAAATGACATTTGGGACGCGATCAACTCGCTGAAATTGATCGGACACCCAGAAAACGATTTTGGTTGCAAAAGCACCGTTCATACGAACCCAGTTATTATAATTCATGCACTTCTGTCCAATCCAGATGTCGATCTCAACCTCTTCCAAGAAGACCTCAAAAGCAAAGGATACTGCACCTTCACAACCATATACGGAAACCATAAACATCTCGCACCATGGATTGGAGGATTGACTTCTGTGCGGGAGTCTTCCGAGACCTTGTCTGACTTCATTCTTGAGGTGATCCAGAAAACCGGCGCTAGCAAAGTCGACCTCGTTGGACATTCAGAAGGGGGTGTGATGGCGTTATACGTCCCCATGACACACCCAGAAGCAGCGGCCAAAGTTGAACGTATCGTTTCCTTGGGACCAGCCGTGCATGGTGCTTTGTACTATGGCTTGACGAATTTATGGTACAAGAACGGAGATTTTAGCCGAGAGACCGCAAGCGCTGTATTGCATTTTTTGGGCTGCGCAGCTTGTGATGACATGGCCACTGGAGGGGAAATTTATAACGATTTCAAGGATTCGAAGAGAATCGTGCCGGAGGGCATCAAGGCCACAATCATCATGTCGACTAAGGATACTTTGGTAGCACCCGATGCGAGCAGAATAGAGGAAGTTGGCGTTCGAAACGTAATGGTTCAAGATAGCTGCCCAGAAGACGATGTCGGACATGCTGGATTGGCGTGGGATACTGGTATTTGGGACATAATCCGGAACGAATTGAATGAGGATTATGGTGGAAAAGTGAGTTGTGCAAAAGGTTTGCCGGTTTAGAGCACTGAGACTTTTCGTACCGTCGAGAATGCATGATGGATTGCTCGAGATTGTAAATTACAGAGCAGTGGCATACTGGATTATGTCCAAACATGAAGAGCATACAGAGAATATGAAGACAAAAGTTGACAACGTTCCGACCCCAATGGCACTGGATTTGACTGGGCTTTTGGAAAGGCTTCCAAGCCGACAATACCGGTAAGAAGTATATGATATCCATCTAGCCAGAGGAAAGGGTGAAACACTTGACACGCGAAGGCTGTGTATGTCTCTCATATGGCGTTATGAAATCTCAAGGGCAGATATCGATGTCTGGATTTACAGAATCCAGAATAATATTCGTCACCAAATCATCGGTACCTGGTGGTAAAGTATGAAGATGATCCTCGTGATACAGATAGAATTCAGCCCATGATGACGCAACCAGAAAGGACTCAATAGACACAATCACTAAAGCTCTATGATGAAATGGAAATGGAGATGCAAATGGCCTGGATTGGGATGGGAGAGATGGAGTGAAGTTGGAGATGTCACAGTATTAATGGTAAACATGGAAATTGTGCAAGGTTGCAGGGGTCAGTAACAGTACGTAAGGTGGCCGTTAGTGACACTCCCCGCCAAAATGGAAAATCGACTTTTCGCGAAAACATTGTTTTTATATACGACTACTACTAAAATTAATATATTTATAAAATAATAAATTATTATAACTAACTTACCTTTAATATAAACTAGATTTATTTATAAGTAAAAGAAAAATTATATGATTAAATAAATAAATAGTTTCTAAGTTTACTAAAACTTATTATAATATTCTTAAATATATTAGGAAATAGTTCGTTATTAAAGGTTCGAGTTATATATAAAGTATAAATAAATAAAATAAACTATTATTTTATAGCTTTTAAATATAACTTTATATAAATAACCTTATATTAATATTCCCTTAATATTACTACCTAAGTTTAGTAAATATATAGTAGTAGTATAGGGTATTATACTGTATAAATTTAAATATTATATACCTATTTTACGAAAAATCGATTTTCCGATTTTGGCGGGGAGTGTCACTACCGGCCACCTTAAGTACGGCGCCCGAGAGATACCATATCCGCAATCTCAGCCTTATCAACCCCCAGCGTCATTTCTCCCAGCCTCGACATCTCCACCCCATTTTGCACTCTACAAGCTTGTCACGAACAACTGAATCCACGGTCGCTCTCACACCGTACTGTATATCCTTGGGTCAAACCCAATCACGCGATATGGATCTCCTCTCCTCCATCCGCAAGTCGGGCTCCCGAGGAGGCGTCAACTTCTCCTGGGATGAAGTCCAAACATCACAACATCGCGAAAACTATCTCGGCCATTCTCTTATGGCACCCGTCGGGCGATGGCAGAAAGGCCGCGATCTGAGTTGGTACGCGAAAGGAAACGAGGAAGGAAAAGAAGGCGAGACAGCAGAAGAGAAGCAAGCTAGGGAAAGAAAGGAAGAAATCAGAAAGATTAAAGAGGCAGAAGAGGATGCCCTTGCGAGGGCTCTGGGTCTGCCTGTGGCTGATAGAGGTGTTACGGGGGCTAATGCTATTACGGTGGGCGAGGTCAATCGTATGGTTAAGGATGCTGGAGTTGGGGAGGAGGATTATGGGGATTTAGGGAAGAGTAACGGGTTTGGAGATTTTGTTGGTAAGGCGGAAGGCGCCGATGGATTTATCGCAGAGCCTGAGGCGCAAGAGAAAGGTGGAATTGTTCGAAAGGGACGAGAGAAAGAGGGAGAAGGACGCCGGAGAGATGAGAGGAGTCGGACTCCAGTACGAAGACATCGAAGACGGCATCGGTCGCGAAGCAGAGAGAGGCACAGACAAAGATCCAGAAGTGGCGAGAGGTATCGTCATCATCCAAAGAATGATGAAAGAAACAGAAGACGAAGTCTCGACAGACGCGAAAGAAGGCATCGAAGCCGGAGTCCTCATGGGCGGCGGCAAGACCCCGAAAGAGATGAGAGGAGGAGGCGATCGGAGTATAGACCTCGCAGAAGCCGCTCTCCTGATCGAAGAGATGGGGGCGACAGGAGGGATAAGGAATTTGATAGACGACGCTGAGATAGGATACTGGATAAAGGAACACCCAGAAGGACTCTGTCGATATTTCTTTACATTACCTTCGAGCCCTGAATGCCATATTAGATGCAGAATCCGGTGCTGGTGTCTCGTAGATAATCATGGAAATACCAATCATTAGGAACCCACGTATAGCTTTCAACGAGAATACGAGTACCACAGGTCAATCTTGGGGAGCCTTAGGAAAGAAGAATGATATTGGCCATTCTACCCACATCTAATACCATTCGACGTACGCATCGACTCGATCAAAACCCACCACCCCGATGCATTTTCTGATGAACCAATCTCAGAATCAAACAGACCTCCCATCATACTTTTGATACTGAAGCTTCTCCAAGTCGATGCCATCAAATCCTCTAACATTGACAGCGAAATCCTCCGGTTCTTCTCCACCCTCATCGCTAGCTCTCGGACTCGCCATCAGACTGCTTCCACAGGTCTTGCAGAATAGATGAGCGCAGGATTTCTTGCTGAAGACATATGACGTCAAATTCTCCTTTCCCTCGATTTTGACATCCTTTCGTTTGGGGTATACGTTGAGGTAGCCGTTTTTGGTGCAGAGCTTGCAGTTACAATGCACGACTTTGATGTGCTCGATGGGTTGGGAGAGGACAACTGTGTAGGTGTTGGCTCCACAATGACAACTGCCGCTGTATGTTGTGAGGACATGAGATGAGGTTTCAGAAGCCATTGTTTGGGTATTTGCATTGGTCATAAAGATGGAATCGGAAGAGAAGGAACAAGGTTGATTACTTATATTAGTATAACAGGCTGCGCATCACCCGATGATAGGCAACAATGCGCCTCTGACCTCCTTCACTCATTCATCTGTAGAAGGTGCATGAGAAATATGAAGCGAACCCTTTTCTTCTGAACTAGTGAAGTGAATCAACTTGAGTTATTATTGACTTGCTCAAGCGAGGGAGACCAGGGGTCCGTAATCGGATTTAGCAAACTTAAAGCCGACGCTTCAATCTGGCCTGCATGGTACCGATGCTCTAACGTGTTGTTGACTCGAATGCAATGCCACTAACAAGACGATATTATCTGCCAAGTTCGTTGACGCATAGAATTTGTTGATCAGAACGAATCAAAAAACCATTCTTTATGCTGGAGTACCTTTAGATTCTATCTAATTGCCACTTTGATACCCACAAGACTTGTTTAGACCGCGTCACGGATCACAGCCTTGCCGTCAGCCTCTTGCTCCCCCATTACAAAACAAGTCACCGCCACCATATAAATCCACACTTTCCCATTTACCTGCGATGACTCGAAAGGACTCGTAGGGTCATACAACAACTCCCATTTTAGGAGGCTTGTGTGCAAGCTGAACCACCATACAAAGCCATGGATTTCGCGAAGCTTAAGGCAACGGCATTGAGCCATGGAGACGATGAGGAAGCAGTGACAGTTAATACTCGGGCTTTGATCGACAAAGTCCTCGCTCGATACTCTGGGGAGTGGACGACACTTAGGGAACTCTTGCAGAATGCGGCAGATGCCCAAGCAACAACGGTGTCGATCAAGTTCGAGACATTCCCGTCCGCTCAAGTCCCCCTTCTGAATACCACCAACCAGTCTGAGATGCTGAAGCATGTCTTATTACATCACACACTACGACGACTGGTCGTCACGAATAATGGGCAGGCATTCGGGGTCAATGACTGGTCAAGATTAAAGAGAATCGCTGAAGGAAACCCAGACGAAACAAAGATTGGGGCTTTTGGTGTTGGATTCTACAGTGTATTTGCAGATTGTGAGGAGCCATTCGTGAGCTCGGGGAACGAGGCTATGGCATTTTACTGGAAAGGAAACTCTCTGTTTACCAAGAAACTACAATTGCCGCCGGACCAAGGCAATCCAAATACCAGCTTCGTTCTCGAATATCGAAACAGCACAACCCCTATGCCGAATCTTTTATCAATCTGTCAGTTTCTGGCCACAAGTTTGACCTTCGTTGCATTACAAAATATTGAGCTTTGGGTTGATGATTGGAAAATTATATTCTTGCAAAAAAAGACAGCGCCAAGTATTGAAGTTCCTTTAGCTAGAGATGTCGAAACTAAAACGAAGGAAGGATTGATGAAGATTACGGGACTTGATAGAGAGAGTGTACAAATGGACGCCACTTTTATGAATGTTGTAGGATGGAAGCCTTCCATACCAAATTCAGTCTCGAAGCCCGGGAGCTATGATAGTGGTTATGGAACTAATGCGGATGTACCGTCATTACGATCATTCTTTTCTAGACTCACATCTTCTTCGAGTCATTCACAGACGAAGACCAAAGCTATGAAAGAAGAAAAGGCTTTGCAGGATGTTGTATTGGAAGATTTGACAGCGCAAACCACTGCAAATGTTTTCTTACGAGTCACTACCGCCCAAGTCAAAACCTATGTCAGTGCAGGATTTGCCGCTGAGCTGGAACGTGCTACCAAAAAACCACCACCAAGGACAACAAAACTCGCAATTTTGACATCTTCATACGATGAAGAAGCTGCTTCCTCAAAGGTCAATATGGTTGCGAAGGCTGTAGATGTGTTTGCTTCTGTACTTCCAGGAAAGAAACCAGGTGGAAGAATATTTATTGGATTTCCCACCCATCAAACCACGGGGGGTGGCATGCATCTTTCAGCTCCATCAGTCATCCCAACTGTTGAACGAGAGTCCATAGATTTGAATGCAAGATGGGTTGTTACTTGGAACCGAGAAATGCTTCGAGTTGCTGGTATCATGTCAAGACTGGCTTTTTCAAATGAGATGGCGGATCTGTCTGACAAGGTAAAGCGAGCGACTGAAGCCAATGGTCATGGTACAAAGATTACAAAGGATGAGATTGCAAAATTTATGCCTGAAGCACTTCATACACTGAAGACGTTTACTTTCGGAGAGTCAACACCCGCTTCGCAAGTATCTCAACTTATTGAAGAGGCATTTTGGACAGCATACAAGAAACCCTCTATTGAGATCTACAGCACCAGAGGTGTTTTACCGACTAACATAGTCAGACTGGCTACCGAAGATCTAAGTGGTTTTGTGGAGGGGATTCCAGTCATCCCAGAAGAGTTGGCAAAGGTTGATTTCGTCAACAAACTTCGAGATTTCGGAATCATCACAGAAATTACGATTGGCGACGTAAAGCAGGAACTATCAGCCAAAGCATTGACGAGAGAGCAACTTATACAATTTATCGGCTGGGCTGGTAAAAAGGCCAGTACTGGGGAAATCGATGGCGGAACCATCCATTCTTTACTTGACGTCGCAGTTGCAATGACTGGGGATGCTAATGGGCAAGGCGATGTAATCGCGCTTGGAAGTATCAAGAATTATATTAATGTCAGCAAGATACCCGCCGAAGTGCCTGTCCCACCAACAACCATACCGTTTCAGTTTACAAGAGGATCCAATCTTCACGAACTACAAGCTCTTGGTTGGGAGGCTCTTGAATTATTACCTTGGTTACGCTTCTTGATTGAAAACAACTACAACAGACCTGCTGAGCAGAGCCTTGTAGCATCGGTCCCATTCGCTGCGCACGTTCTTCAAATATTGTCAAGAGGTTGGGATGGGCTTAGTCAAAGTTCAAAAGAGACAATCGTACAACTTTTGAAAGATATCACAATTGTGCCAACAAAATTTGGTATGAAGAAACCGGGGGAGGCATTCTTTGCGAATGTCAAACTATTTGATGACCTTCCAACTGTGACTTCATGTCCAGGTGTCAAGGAAAAATTCTTTGCTGCGATCGGTGTACGGAAGACTGTTGATTTGGAAACAATCTTCAGTCGTCTACTTACACCACAGCAGAACAAGGAAGGCCAAGCTGCATCTGGAGCTCGGCATATGGAGTTGATCAAGTACCTGGCATCGGTGAGAGATGATATACCTGCGGAAGATGTAAAGAGATTGAAAACGTCGCCCATGTGTCCTGCTGAGGCTGGCCCACCTGGAAGAGAATCTACACAGGGATCCGCAAGGTTATATAGAGTCTCAGAACTTTTCGAACCCAAGGATAGTCTGAGAGATTTGGGATTGCCAATCATTCAATGGCCTGGGCCACCTGGGAGTTACAGAACTGGAAGCATCGAAGGTAGATTTCTGTCAGCACTCGGCATTAGATCGTGCCCAACAGTGCCCGAATTGATCGAAATGATGGCTTCCGAAGACTACATACACAGAAATAAGGCCATGAATTATTTCATTGCAAATCATCATATCAACGGCTATGGCAATTTCCATGTTGGTATCTCAGCCAGACAATTTCTTCCACTTCAAGGCGACGAAAAGCGTCTTGTCAGCCCTGCTGAATGCTTCACAAATGAGAGATGTTCGGTACTTGGATTCAGTATTCTGAACAAGGAACTTCATATTCACGCAAACAAGTTTGGTGTCGCAATGGACCCCCCACTCACGGAATGTGTCAATCGCCTCATTGCAAAACCGCCACAGAACAAGCGAGATGCTGCAACACTGTTTGGATACTTCTCCATACGTCTTGGAGAATTCGGCCAGAATAATGTTGCAAAACTTGCTGATGCTCGTATCGTACCGGTCGCATCTCGTACAGAAACTTCAAATGGCTTCATCAATGAAAAGTCTACCGCTCAGGCGACTACGCAACAACTCACTCCCAAGCAATGTTACATTGGCAGCTCCTCAACTTATGGTGATATATTCGAGTTTGTGGATTTTGGTGGTGAAGCCAATAGTTTCCTCATCAAATGCGGATCAAAGATGGAGCCTACAATCTTTGAAATTGCAGCTCTAGCTTGCAAGGAACCCGCACGATTATTGGGAATCATGCAAAGTCCCGAAAAGTATCTCGGGCTATTGAAGAAGCTTGCGGACGATTTACCAACTCTCAAACGTGACAAACTTCTCTTCAAGCAGATGAAGGCTTCTAAGTTTCTACTTGGATCCATCGAAATCCCAGGGACCAAGGACAATCGGAAATCTGCGCAGCCTCAAAATGTGGGCCCCATGGACAATGAATTTGATCCTGATGAAGAGGATGCCGAGGATGCGCCGATCAAGCAATGGCAATTGGCAACACCCGCCAACGTTGTAGTGGTCAGTAGTACATGCTTCCTCTTCTCTATCTATACTAAACTGATGACAGGTCGATGATTATATCAGCTACCGTCTTTTCAAAGCAAATTTGATGTGTGCTCCTATGGATGACAAGCTTGAAGAGTTCTATCTTGCCTTGGGGTCGTCACCGCTTGGAAGTCTGGTTCAGGAAGACCTCAGACTTGGTTCAGCAAGTGATAAGCAAGCATCTGCTGTCAAGCTCCGTGCTCATGTTCTTGAGCGGTCGAAACTCTTTCTACACGAATATGAGAAGCAGAGTATCAAGCATGACAGTCGTTGGCTGGAGAAAAATCTGACCGTTCAAATGGTCAGCTCGATATCTTTGAGAAGATTACTCCGCGGTCATACCTTGTCACATACGGAAAAAAGATCTGCTGCATGTACTAATGAGCGTGGCAAGGGATGGACCTTGTTCGTCACTGCTGGTAATTACGATATCTACCAAATCAGTCATGCAATTTGCAAGATGTTACTTGAACGGCCAAATCAACAGGCCTATCTAACATTTGAGACCTTCCTTAAACTTAACTTGTATGAGTTACGATCTCGAGGGTATAACGTCGAACGTATTCTACGAGCAAAGGCTGCCGAGCAGAGAATCGCAGAAGAGGAGAGACGAAAACAACTCGAGGCTGAACAGGAGCAAATCAAGCAGCAGGAAGAGCAATGGAGAAATGAGAGTCAAGTCGTACCGCAAACACCTCGCGAGGACCGCCGAAGGCCCAAAGACGTAATGCCAGGTGCTTTCGGGTCCGATTCCCCAGACGATTCCCCAGAACCCCTTCCGAAGGAGAAATCACGCGGAGGTTTATTCTCGGGATTGACAAAACGCCTCGGGCTGGATAACCGTGGTGCAGAGGCTCAACAACAACTCCAAAACTTCTTGGGCGGTGGTTCATCTCATGATCATAAGGAACCTGATGCCCCTCCACCCTATGACGCTGGCGATAAAACTGCAAAGAAACCAGGCACCGAGAAAGTATCGAATCCAGCTGCCGTGCAACAAAATCTGATGAACGCCATCCAATCCTCTCGAGCTCATGATTCTTCTACTCTGTTCTCTCCTCCCACCACTCAAACCGTCAAGGAAGAAAGATCATACTGCGACTCAACCCCAGCCCAAAACATCACCTTCCTGGCCGAGGCGTCGAATGGAATGCGCATATTCGTCAGCAAGACCCTTGCCATCCCCTCAACCGAGTTCCTCACCACCAATATCTCCGCGCTCAATATATTCGCCAACCTGCTTCATGAGATCGCAGATATTTATAATGTGACTCGTAAAGCGGTCCACATCTTCTACGATGAATCGGGTGGTACTATCGCTTTTAACTCTAATGGAAGTATCTTCTGTAATTTCCGCTTCTTTGTGCAGTTGCATGCGAAGAAGTTGCAGAGTGGTGTTGCGAAGGAAGTGGGCGAGGCGAGGGTCGAGGCGGGAAGTTATTGGTGGATTGTTGTGGCGCATGAATTGGCGCATAATCTTGTGAAGGAACATAGTTCTGAGCATAGTTTTTATACGTATGTTTCCCTCTCATTCTTTGTTGCTTCTGATCCTCGACCGCCTTGATCAATACTGACATTTCTTCATAGCGAAATGCTGGTAGCTAACTACTTCCCTAAAATGATGACCAAGTCCGCAGGGTACTTGCAAGCTGCTACTGCCGCTGCGACTGCCGCGCCGGCATCGCTTCCTCCTCCGAAGGAAGATAGACCTTTGGTGGATTATTAGAGGGTCTGTATATTGCAGTTGTGTATAGAATGGTACTTTCATCGGTTCGGCGTTCTTTTTATCTCTTTGATGTCTTGCATGCATGATGGTATGATGAGCGAGCGTTTTCGTTTCTTTTGGTATTTGCATTGGGTGGGATGTTTGTTTAGCGGTTCCTTGAGGTATGGGTTTCATGAGAGATATGAGAGTAGAGGTTCGAGAGGTCATAGAATAGAATATAGATAGACGGGTGTTAAGGGGGAGAAATGAGGATGAGGAATTTCCATGTTCTTGCTTCCTCATTGTGATGTGAAACCTTTTCAACTTCAGACTTTTTACATGCGAATACCAGACCTCAAAGCACATCACAAGTCTAACAACCCTTGGATAAGACTTTAAACTCCCTTGCCTCCCTATACCCACCAAAACACGTGACTCCCCTCCACCCCTCCTCCCGACTCACAACCCCCTCCAAATCGCCAAACTCAACCCCCAATAAATATCCACGACGACAAGCCATCAAATACTTCTCCTTTTCTTAACCATTCAAAGTATCCTACTTCTTCTTCCAAGCATCATCGAAGTCTATAATATTCTTCGCAGCTCTATCCACATGCGACTTCCCTCTGGACTTGCTTCCAGAAGCAATCATGCCCGAGCAATGGTCTGAGATTGTTGGCTCCTCGTCGATATAGGCTTGGAGGGGGTAGGAGGGGGGTTTGGTCTTTTTTCTAGGGAGGAAAAATATTAGTTTTAGAGGGGATTGGTTGGACGATTGGGACTGGGGTGGAGGTGTTTACTTCTTCTTGCTATCAATTTGAGGGCCTTGGGAATGGTGAGGTGGTGGGGAAGGCATGTCTTGGAGGTACTGGCTAGGAGTTGGAGTTTTGGATTGGGTTGTTTCTGTCGTTTGGATGGGGAGTGATTTCAAACATCATCTTCATCGGTGTCTTTGGACTGTCTTTATACTTCAGTCTGTTGGTGGTGATTGTATTTTCATTGATTGAAACCTGGAGATGTGATATTTCCTGCTGGACATATTCTGGCAAGTAAGTGGATGTTTTAACAGGTTCCGTTTCCTGGCTGTGTTCTATTTTGTGTTCTTCCCCAGGTTTTGTCATCTTCCCACGTGGTTTCGTATAGCTGCATCTTGACGCGTGAGTCGACTTACGATCGCTTCTGGTTTTGGCTACAATAATCAAGTACGAAACTGCCTAATGCGTCTTGCTGAAGCAGGTGAATGCTTATTGAAGGCCAACTTAGCTTCATGGATTACAACACTGCGAACGAAGGCCTGAAAGGCCGAGGATTATGGCCTAGATATTCCAATACTAGAAAAGAGTTGCTATTGGTTTGATATCTTTTTTTCACAAGTTGGAGAGCTGATTGCCGCTTGAGCGATGCGGAAAAAAAGTATTGCGCTTTACTTCCGCGAGGTCAGATTTCGCTGTGGCCACACTTTACCATTGCTGGTGATTAGGAAATAGATCACCGACTTGTTTCAAAACCGGGGCCAATCAAAGCCCAATGGGCTGAGCTGCACTCAATCTGGCGTTGTGCAGACAATTTTCGGTGAGCCGAATCGATGTTCGGTTAAGCCCCTTGATTGGTTCAGTGGGAGACAGCCTTGCTGCATAGCTCAAGCACAATTAGGCGTCATATCAACGCGACCAAAACCTGGCGGGCAAAACAAACCCTGAGAACGAAGCCTGGTGACAAAATATGACCAGGACCTGCGGATAAAACAAAACCTGGTGGCAGAACCTAGTGTTGGATCCTTGTCCCTTTCCTGGATGAAATCTGGCGACGATTCCTGGCAAGCTGGAGAAAAGTAGATCTCATCTTTACCAATTAGCGGCTGGTGCAATATGTATGATAATAAGGCTGGCAGCTGGCTTTACATATTTAGGCCAGAGAATCTCCCAGTTTCTACTTTTTGACGTTACCGACGTCCTCTTTTAATCGGTTCATACTTTGGCATTTGTAGTGACCCTCACTCACAGCGCACTTATACAGCCTGATATTGCGACGCTTTAGACATGGATTCACAGACACGGCGTATTACATCAGCCCAGTGGGAGAAATGGAAGGTTACTATCTTGAGCCTTTTCCGTCAAGACTACACTCTCAAGAAGGTGATGGACGTTATGAAGAACGAGAATAAGTTCGTGGCGAGGTATAGTACAGAGGTTCTTCCGTCAACGTGTATTTGAACCAACAACCACTTGTAGCACATGGCAATACGAAGCACAGCTTCGTGCCTGGAATTTCGCAAGAACCTCTCGCCTGATGAGTGGATCACTCTGATTGAAAATGTCGACACACTCGATTCTCAAGGCAAACAAAGCAGAATAATCATCTCTGGAGACCCGGTTGACGCAAAGAAGCTTCGGAGAATGAGAAGAAGACACCAGAAAGGAAAACGTCGTCGATCTGATCAAACGACAAAAGGTAACCGGTAGCCTCAACCATAAACTGTGGAAGTATCGCTGACAGTATGGGAAGGAACTCTGACTGAGCTGGAGAGTGTTTCAATCGAGATTCGAGGTTCTGATGGGAACTGGATTCCTCACTTTTCTCGTAGACAAATTATCCATCATAGCCAAGACAAAGCTGATGGACAACTTCCTTCCCTCACCACTTCCATGCCCAACAATCCAGGTTTTGGTGCAATCGCCCAACAAAACTTTGATGGGACCGAACTTGTTGATACAGCAGATAGGCAGCAATTGGAGCTGTCGGATGAATTTGGGCTCCAAAGTAATACCGGCTTTGCTGCTGGGGGGACTTTCTCACCTATATCTTTCGACGTGCCCTCGCTTATGGCACTCAATGACCTACAAACTTCTGGTGACTACAACTATGATTTCTTCTCCCCTGGCTCAGATTGGGCAAGAACCCCAAGCCTGTCTCGCACATTTGCTCCTTTCAGGCTCCCAATTGATAAAGATCTGAGTTCCATTCTGGATGCGTCGCCGTTCAAACATTTCATGAGAAGTCTTGGAATTTTAGGTGTGTAAACTCTCTCAATACTGGCTACCGTGGTTCTCTTGAATCGAATAGATTTCTCATAATTCCCAAAGTACGACTAACCATCCACCAGGATTCAATACCATGAACACATCTCTCAACTCTAGAGGTACCTCTTCCTTGATTGGTCAGGACTCATTGCGACATTTAGAGGACGACATTCACCTGTATCTGGCCAAAAGGAATGGAAACATGGGCGAAAAAACGATATCAGACGTCGCCTGTGTTTTGACATCTCTCGGGAATCAACTTTCCAATACAAAACTGCATGGTGTTTACACTAAGAGGAGAGTCTCATGACGAAAGACGAGATGCTTCAGGTTAAGCTGTTTGAGAGACTACTTTTTTCGACTGCCAATGGCTTTGTTGGTCTTGAGGGTATTCCCATCCAGTGTGTACTCAAATTCTTGCACAGACCCGGGAACATCCAACTGCTGCTGAGAACAAGCCATACCCATGTTGGGAGGTCGCTGGCGGAAAATCTTCTTCGAGCCGCGATTGAAGGACAGGATAAGGATGCGCTTGAATCGTTGTTAGCCTCTACGTCGATCGACGTCAATTCAATAATCTGTACTGTTGATGGTAACAAGTATACACCGATTGAACGAGCTGCAAAGCTCAGGGATCTTGGGATGGTCAGTATATTTCTCAAAGAAAAGGCCGATATCAAGAAGACATACAACATTGGTTCAGGTCCGCTTACAAGACTTGTCGAAATACACCCTTTAAAATCAAGGCCCACAAAAAACATTTTCAAAATCACGGAGTTACTTCTAGACCATGGTGCCAAGTTGGACCCTGGATTTCTCAAGTCTGTATTCGAGATGCAAATCCCGAAGTCAGATGTTCATGGTCTGATTTCCAGATTGCCTGGCGCTGACCACGCAGAATTCATTCGTTGGGGGATTTTGAGCGATATTGCTATACATCTCGCTGGGTGGAGTGCTTCAGCGGCTACACAGGCTATCAAGAATATCATCATGGCCTGTGAGAATTCAAACTGCGGAAATTGCAAGAAGAGATTTGAGAGACATTTCGACTGGGCTTTGATACAAGCTGCAGAATACGGACGCTTAGAACTTGTTGAGGTGCTTAAGCTTTACTCCAAAACCTCGAATAGGGCTCTGAGTGCTGCTATTCGTTCTGGCAGCAGCAAGATTATCGATATCATCCTTACCTTGAAGCCAGATATCAATGGACCTGCGCACAACATCGACGGAGAAGAACTGCCATCCGACACAGGTACCACCTCATATGCAAAGGCAATTAGAACCAACAACAAGAAGCTTATTCTCGAAATGGAAACCAACGGTGCTCTTTCGCTCCTGAAGGAAGGGGAACGCTTCGAACCTGCGATCACTGCGGCATCCGAAATTGGTGACCTCTTGTTTGCTCGAAAGCTTTTGAACCACCGCCATTCTCCTGAGCCTTCTAGCATGGCTAGAGCTTTATTGAGCGCTATCAGAAACGGTCATGAAGAACTTTTCTGGATTTTGCTTGAAGCTGGGGCTAGTGTCAATCCTTCTTCAATTAGGAGATCCGGAGAGCTAGATCCATTGTTTTTATCCGTGACCAGCAAGAACCCCAGGATTGCCAAGGCTATTTTGGATGCTGACACCAAAGACATAAAATCCTGGCTGTGTTACGACTTCAACGGTGCTGATACTACCATTATAGAACAAGCGATCCTTTGGGGAGATAGAGATATCATACAAGACCTCCGGTTGGCCTTTCCACAATCTCATCTAGACAGTGGAAACTTTAAACTTATATTGGACTCTATAGATGAAGCGGTGTTTGAATTTCTTCTCGACATTGAAGTCTTTTCTATCAAAGCCCTCGCCGCATTGCTCAAAATTGGATTGGATCAAGGCAATGCCAGGCTGATCGAGCAACTTCTGGAAAGGGGCGTAGATCCTACCGACTCAAGTGTTCTAGTCATGTGTTTAGCAAAGTACCCTGGCATAATCTACGAGCGAACGTCTTTCCGAAATGGCAATCGCATGCCTAACTTTGGAACCGCTGCTTTGGTAGATGTAATCCGAGATGTTCACAATAGAATCAATGCCGTAACGCTCCTGCTTGAGACTGGGGTTGTCGACGCGAAAGCCTTCTCTGATGATCTCACACCGCTCGGGGAGGCTATTAATATTGCTTGGGATGACCATCATACCTGCCTAGAAATTACAAAGAGTCTTCTCCGCTATGGCTGTGATCCCAACAGCATCGTCCATAACAATGATTACCGCCACATCAAGCATACAGCGCTCTTGGAAGCGATCCAAACACGAAGAAAGAGACTGGTAGAACTCCTTATTGATGAAGGGGCAGATGTCAACCGAGAGGCGAGATTGGGACTTAAGCGAACGCCTCTACAGAAAGCGACAGAGGAAGATAGCCTGGAGATCGTGACGCTATTTCTGGAAAGAGGGGCAGATCCCAATGCCGCGCCAGCGCAGCGTGGCGGAGCAACAGCGTTTGAACTTGCTGCTATCCGAGGGAACTGTATTATTGCTGCCGAACTGCTTAAATGGGGCGCAAAGCCTGACGCTCCGCCAGGAACTGTTAATGGTCGGTGACCACCCGAGGGCGCAGCTGAGCATGGTTGTATGGAGATGGTTTATTTCCTTTGGATGTTGAACCGTGGATGTTTCAAAGCTGAGATATGTCAGAAGGCGAGAAAACGAGCGGAAGAGAATGGGTTTATCGCTTGTAAGAATGCAATTGAGGATCTGTCGCAACAAACGGTGGGACCGTTATTTCCTGTAGAGCAGTTTTAGTTTTCTTGGAATGAATATCACACACATACTCTACAGCTAATTATTCGAGTCATATCTGCTAACCATACAATGAACATCTATAAGAACTAGTACTAACAGATTATAAACGGTCGAACTGCTCTTACGGGACTTAAGTCATAGGTATTCTCACTCTACAAGTATTCCTTCACCTTCTTCCAATTGTTTAAGTAGCGAAATAGAGAAGATCTAGTCTGTCTAACAAAGCGACATTTCATGAGAATACGTACCCAAAAAAGCTTACGACCTACAAATCTTTCCTCGAAAGTATTACTATTATTAACGGGCGTTCATTTATCTTTTAGCTATTTTAACGAGTAATAGACCTAATAACTCGCCTATAATAACTTTCACCTTATTTTCTCTCTCTATATAACGAAGGTCTTAATACACTTAGAATAATCGGCCTCTCGCTTAGGGCTTTAAGTTAGTAATTTAACAAGATAGTAGCAGTAAGATAGTATTACGGCTAGGGTCTAGCCTAATAACTTAAGAAGATAACTAAGATAATAAGTTGTATAGGAATATATAAACTTAAAAGTTATTTAGTTAAGTTTATAGTAATTTTTTAGTCTATTATAAATACTAATATCGTATAAGTATAATATAACACGTAACCTATTTCCTTACTATAAACCGTCTATTTTTCTAGGTTCGAATTTAAATAAGTACTTAAACTTAAAACAAAAGTTCTAGTAAAGGTTTTATATAAGTTATAGATTAACTAATTTATTAATTAACTTACTATGTTAATTTCTAGATTATTTAAATATCTTTTAAAATATATAGAAAATAATAACTATTTCCTTAACTAATAAGAAAATATTATATTTAATTTAATATAAAATAAATACTCTTACTATAATCTATTAAATTCTAATATCTGATCAAAAATAAAAAATATCTAGTAGAAACTATTTTAGAAATTTAATTTATTTTAAATTATTCTTAATTCGATGAGATTAATATCTAAACTGAGTTTCTTACTTAAGATTTCTCTAGATATTACACAAAATATTACATTATATATAAATTATAGTAGTATAATAATTTAGAACTAATCTTAAAATATCTTAGATATATATATTTATTAAAACGAAAAAATAACTTTAGTTTAGTAGAGTAATATAGGCGTAAGCTTATTAAATAATCGGTTATTTTACGTTTAGTTGTAAAATTTACTATAAGTTAATACTAAGAATTAATAATATCCCGTATTACCTTTGTTTAGTTACTTCGTTGCTTTGAAATTAATTAACTATTTCGAAGAAAATCCGATTACTAGAGCATATACTACCGAGGTATAGCAACACTAGTATAGGTATATGAACATGTTATTCTTCAATCTATCACGTAAAAACAAGAAAAAATAGTCGGTTGTATTCTTCCATTAATTCCTGTCAGTAATCGTGCTATATCGTAAATCTCCTGCAATATAGGACATTCCCGTTTCCCTTGAAACTCGTACAACCCATTCCTCCACCCAACTTCGAGGCATTCACTCAATCCATCGTCATCTTAATATCACCATCTCTCTCAGTTCTCTCCATTAACCACATCTGCTCTTCCTCCCAGCGCGCCTCCTCCTCAGCGCGAACGCCATGCAAGATCGGCTTTGCTCGCTTCCAAGACCATATATCCAAACCGAGAGATCGGGTGAAATCGACCAATCGCTTATGTCCATTTTCCTCAAGCCACTCTGCATCAGATTTGTTGGCAGGGTGTAATGTGTTCCGGGAGATACCACGGCGAGAACGAGAGCTGGTGGCAGAATTGTAGGAGCTGGAAATGGTGCGTTGGGTAGAGTTTCGAGAGCTGTAGCTTGCTAAGCGACTTGAAGATTGGTAGAAATTTGAGGTGTAGCTTGTAGTACGGCTTGAAGCTTGCTCGTAGCCAATTGATCTGCTGTAATATGACCGGGATGGTTGGTAGAGGTTGTTATCAGACACCTAGCGGAAGACACCTCATCGTTGGTCGTACCAGATCTGGTTGTCATAGTGTTGCTCAAGCTCTCGGGGGCTGATATTCTCGTTGGAGGTTTTGCGAAAGGTGCGAGATCGAGAGTCATACCAGACTTGATTGCCATAGCATTGCTGGAGGAAACGCGGGTTGAGGGGGACGACCTGAGCTTGGCGATGAGAGAGGATTGGGTACTTTTTGTGCTTTCGGATTGCAGAGATGTGAGAGGTGTCTTGGGTAAACGAAGATCGGCGGTTGACGCGCCCCATGGCAATATTTCCTTTGTTTCTGTGTGGGTGGTGTCAATCGGTCGCGTTCAGACTCAAACATCGTCGTTGATATGAGTACCAAGAGAACACATGGAGAGCAAACATACCTCTTGTTTCCAATTGTTTCTGTTATCCAATGGATCGCATCCAGTATATCATGTCTTGCGGTACAATGATACAAAATGGTGGTTGTTGAGAAAAAGTTGAAGGGGGAGTGTCAAGATCGGATATTCTTGGCTCGCTTATTAGCGCGCCAGAGGTGAATAGGAGGAAGGAGCGACAAGACAAGAGGTCAGTCGCGTCGGAATGACCTCAGGTGTTCAAAAGACCAAACTTGACCTCTGGAAATGAGTTTTAGGAAGGTACAGAGAATATGGTAGGATATATGCTTACATTCAGTGTAAACCTGGAAGCCAATTCTGCCCAAAATGGCAGATGGCCCACACCAAAACCACCTTCGCTTCTTGCATCGTGCTGCATTCAAGATTTGTTTTTTCCCGTGTGCTCCGTAATACCGCTTTTGGAATGCTTCTCTGTGGGTAGCCGCCGAGGATTTCAATAGTCAAGTCCCAGAGCAACTCCAGATCTCGCTCCTGGTTGTCCCATAGCTATAGAAAGGCCCAACCTTTGGAGGGGAAGAACAGAATACATGATCAGGCGAATCCATGCTGAATTCCACCCGAGGTCTTTGTATTTTGATCAGAGATAGCGAATATCAGATGAGAGTCTGTTGAGGGCAGACAACATTCATTTTGAGGATGACGAAGTTGAGGAGTCCGTGTTGATGGTGTTATTGGATCTCCTGGTTTTGAAGAAGTCTCAGTAGATTCATCCTTGGGCGAAGAGTCTCAGGTGTCAAGAGGGAGCTGGAGCTGTTTGCGCGGACAGGTGTGGTGTGGGATAATGGCTGCCTCAGCTTTCCTCAGTATACCTGTAGTCATGCCAGCAGAAAATAGTTGGTATGGGCATGCATAGATTACTTCATGGATGAGTACCTATTGATGAAGGATCCTCTGAGAAGTTAGATGGGAGCCCTCTTGGATTGAGCGATTGTCTGATTCATCACTCATGTTGTGGTCCTCTTGAGGATGGGCTGGTAAATGGAGGCCAGAATAAAAGAGGAAGAAGTTGCGCAGTGAGACCATTTAGTGCACAGGTGAAGTTGGTAATTCAAACTACGAAATGCCTTCCTGATTAGAAGATTTGTGAAAGCATCCACCTATTGAACAAAATTGTAGAGAGTCACCCAGCATACTCTTTCTGACCCAAAGGAGATGTCAGATACCATCACTCTGAAAGATTCTATCAGGTTGTAGGTATAATGTTTAGAAATTCTCCCAACTGTGTAGGAAAGTTGCTGCAAACCATATCAGAAACCTCGACTTCTTAAGCTCGCGGAAAAGACCGACTCCTATGTTTAGATAGGGTGTTCAACTATATATCCACCGATCAAATTTCAGAGCCCACCTAATTTCTTTCAACTGCTTCATTAGGTTCTCAGTAGAAGACGAAGATATCACCACTTGAAAAAAGGGGGTTTTAAGTCTCAATACCCACTATGAGCTGGTTCTCCTCTTTGATACCTTAGCAAAGGAAAAGGGTATCAAAGAATTTAGAGTCTCACAAGTAAATTCACGGAGAACCACAGGCTATACCATTGCAACAAAGGATGTATTTATTCGTTCAGTGCACTGTAAACTTCAATGTTGCAGGTTTAATCTAGGCCACACCAACAACAACCGCTGCAGATGTGGAAGACAAGAGACCCCTACGCACCTACTTCTTAGCTGTCCAGAAACTGGAGATGCTAGGAAAGTACTTAAGCGCAACCTCCTCAAACACTACATTCGAGAATTCACCATGAAATCCCTCCTTCACACCACTAAAGGAGTTGAGGCCACATTAGACTTCCTACGCACCACCAAAATCGCTACTAGAATATGGCACACACAACGAGTAGCCGAGGAGGAAGAGGAAGAGGAATATGAAGAGGAAGACGAGGAAGAGTTGGATACAGGGCGTGAAACGCAGGGGGCGTACTACAACACACTTTTTCTTTCCTTTGTTATAACCAGAAGCCTTGCTGCTTCCAACAACCCAACAACTGTATTCACCACAACCCCCTTCTCACACATGTATTTAGTACAGTTTCATTTATCTGCTGGAGGGAAAACCCCCAGCCATGCTACTATAGTCTCAGACTCACACAGCATGTTGAAAGGAATAATAATAATAATAATTCAATGTTGCAGGAAAGGTACAACCCCAAAACCAAATATCATAATCCCTGGATCTATCCTCCCACTCCATCCACTACCACGCCTATCTACCTCCTCCGAAGAACTTCCAAAAGTTTTGAGCGAGCCTTGATGGCTACATGCCCAGAAGTATCTTCTGATGTATCGAACCGCTCATTTCTTGGTGTTGTCGTCACAGGCGCTTCCGCAGTCGTGTGGCTTTGGAGTTGGTGTTGTAGTAGGTTCAGCTTGAGGCTCCTTTGTGATAGTGCTGGTGGACTTGGTGGCGTCGCCGCAGCATTTGTGGGCGCAGGCAGACTCTTGTTCTGGCATTTTGATCTGAGATCTTTTAGAAGGGCCCTTGGACGTGAGAATAGATCAGAGGGCTCTTACTTGAGTTGATTGATGAGCTTGACAGAGGTTGCTTTGTGTGAGAGTTTGTGATTGACTTGAGTTGCTAGTTTTTTCAGTTCAAGTTGGTTTTTTTCGTTGGAAGAAGGTCAAAGAGGTCTATGGAACTATTTATGCTGAGGGGAAACAGCTGGCACCACTAGTGGGGACCAGGGGCGGTTGCTTCCTTCCTCCCAGAAGCAACAGACCACCAATCCTTCCACCCGAGGGGTCGCTATGTCATTCCCAAAAGTCATAGATATAGAGAAGCTGAATCTTAACTCAACCTCTCTGACTTTGTCATTACTCTGCACATGTTGTATAAAGCTTACTTGTGCCAAAGGTTTGGCATAATAATTGACTTGATTGCCCTGAACTCTTTGGATGCAAAGTGATCATTGTGTTCTAAAGCATTCCTATAAATAGTTTTATTAATCCTGCTAATGCGTTCAAACATGACGTGGTCTTATTATATGGGAATTCAGAGTTACAAGCATGATTCTTACACCCGTTTTACAACTTCACTTTATATTACGAACACATTATCACAAGATCAAATGCGGACTTCAAAGCGAAGGTCTCAGGAAGGTATCTCAAATTAAAGAACATTTCCAAGCAAGATTACCATAACGGGATAGTCACAGCTATTCGCACGCCCGTTGAGGCGTAACATCCCAGTTACAAGTATTCCTTCCACTCAATGAAATGCCCATCAGATCAAACGCCCATAGTGCCAAGTTTTCCAGTAATATCAGACGTATCCTTGTCCTCCTTCGCAACCTTAGTATATCCAACTCTATCCTCATTACTCGCATTAGAGATCGCCTTGCTTGTTGCACTACCATAGCCCGACTTCTCCAGGAGCGCCATGACTGCTGAATAATTTCCGTTTCTTGTAGTGGGAGAATTGTAGGAATGGGCTGTCTTCTTGTTGGAGCTTTTGATAGATTCGTTGGGGGGCATATCGATAATCTTGAGGAAAGTGTTCGGAGAGTTGGTGGCAGGGGTTGAACCAGATGAGGATTTTTGGGTTGCCTTTTCGGCGCTTGATTGATCGACCATGACTGGAGGAGCTCCCGAAATGATAGATGTTTGGAGTATATTGGGTGGTGACATGGCTTTTGTGAAGATGATTATGAGTGCAGAGTAGGTTATGGTGTTGAGGCCCACGTTTGTGCGGTGGAGGTATGGAGGTTTGTGTGTTGTTTTGATTTCTAGGAGGGAATATCCAACGGTAATTTATGGGCCTCTCCACTAGCTGGGCCTTTGAAGGCACTTGAAGGGACTGCAACGCACGAAGACAGATTCACTATGGGACAAGCGTCCAATGTTTTGCAAGTTTTGCCCTGCTTTCTAGGGTACACGCCTCCGCGTATCCCTCAATATTCACCTCCGACAGGTTCTCAAGCTAATAAGAGCACAGGTACTAAGAATTTGCTGCTTCTAAACACTATCATTCACCTCTTTTACAGAACTTGGTGTCTTCTTAAGTTTTGGAAAGGAATGTACTTCAATCTGACGCTCACAATAAGTGGCCATACAAATAACCGTCATCAAACACTCGCTAATATGTGTTTAGACCTGAATTGGAAGGCACTAGCGGCCGAAAATAATATCAAGCTAGGTGAAGAGACACTCTTTGTGCTAACATCAAATCACAGCGTTTGGAAGTAGTAAGACCTTTTCCATAACCTGGATAACGGTCTTCAACAAAAGCTGGCTGACCGAGGGTTTCTGATCGATGTTGACATGCAATAAACATTGTATTAGATGTATTCGGATGGGAGAAGAGAGATCATGGGTCACTTGAGATGTATTGAATTCCAATCCTAGATCAAAAGGAAAAACTTCGAAACTTTTATCCAGCGATTACAATCCTATTGGTATGTCAACTCCCAGAACCCCACGCAAAGTCGGACTCAAAAGACTAGAAGCCATCCAACTAGCCAAAGTTCCAGTAGTACCACCTTTACAATATGTCTCCCCAGCAATATCAATGAATTCTATTTTTTTCATCAGCATACCTCTACAAGAAAGGATAACAAGAAAAAGAATTACTCACTTCCCCAAAGCGCCCAACTTGCAATAAATGATCCCATCAAAATGATAATAGAAGGTATTAACTTCATATCCGAAGAGAACCTCTCCAAGAACTTGTACCAGCAACCAGATTCCTCTCGGTCCTCTCCAAACATTTTCGTCTCCCACGCCCGTTCTTCTTCCACCGTTTTGACATGCAACCTCTTATTGATCACCAAAACAGTAAACCAAGCTAGCAAAAGCGAAGAAGCGACACCCGCAAATATCATGTACTGGAAGGATTTATGAACCCACATAAGAGGGTTCCATTCGCGGCCAGGTTTACAGCCTTGTATATCGCAAGTATGCCCATCCGTGTTCTCTTTACTTATGAATTCGAGCGCGAAATGTAGGGAAATTATGTCTTGTATACACTCGGTGATTACCAAGTCGTAGAATGTTGCGCTGAAGCCTAGCCAGCCGAAGCTTTTGATGATGATGAAAATAATGAAGGTCGCTCGTGGTCGCATGGTCCAAAGACCGAAGATGGTTCCGAAGGACATTCCCGAGTTGTTCTTTTGTGCGATTGCCGCGGAGACAAGGGCTGGAAGGGTATGCAAGACCGCTACTATGGCTCCAGGCCATGGAGTCCAAGTATCGTTGTCGCTCGTAAAGCAATGGAAGCTCGGCATCTTCTGTCGGACTAATTCGTGGCCTAGGATTAATGCTGACGCCGCATCTAGGATGTTCAATACTCCAAGGGACGATAGAATGCTGATTCCAGAGTCACAATCGCTATTGTCCGTTGTATTTTGTTTTGTCGTCGAGTTCGAAGAAGCATTGGTACTGGGGACAGTAGGCAGCTTGAGAGGGCCAGTGCTATGACTTGGAAGGAAGCAGTAATCCAGACGTGGACAGTCTCAATTAGGACGCATGTATCCATTGCCAAAGTCTTCTTCTACTCCTCCAGGGCATGTCATGGAGATATTGGTGCAGAGTGATCCGTTTGAGAAGAACTTCGGACGATCGCATTTAAAGCTTGGAATTGAAGAGGTGGAATCATTTCTAGTTCTGTTTGATTCATCTCTTGACCCTATCTCAAGACGTATAACATAGGGAGTTGCATTGGCTGAGGTCGAGTAAAGCACAGAAACCAGGAAGGTTGCTATTATTATTATTATTATTATTATTATTCCTTTTAACGTGCTGTGTGAGTCTGAGATTATAGTAGCACGGCTGGGGGTTTCCCTCCAACAGATGAGTAAAGCTGTACTAAATACATGTTTGAGAAGGGGGTTATGGTGAATACAGTTCTTGGGTTGTTGGAAGCAGCTAGGCTTCTGGTTATGACAGAAGAAAAGTTGTTATGCTGTAGTACGCCCCGCGTTTCACGCCCTGTACACTACACTTCCTCGTTCTCGTCTTCCTCGTCCTCGTCTTCCTCGTCCTCATCTTCGTTCTCATCCTCAGTTGCGCGTTGTGTGTGCCATATTCTAGTGGCGATTTTGGTGGTTCGAATAAAGTCAAGTGTGGCCTCGACTCCTTTGGCGGTGTGAAGGAGGGATTTCATGGTGAACTCTCGAATATGATGCTTGAGGAGGTTGCGCTTTAGTACTTTCCTAGCATCCCCAGTTTCTGGACAGCTAAGAAGGAGGTGAGTGGGAGTCTCTTGTCTTCCACATCTACAGCGGTTGTTGGTAGTGTGGCCGAGCTTGTGTAGGTATGATTTGAAGTATCCATGGCCTAGCTTAAGCTGATAAAAGGCGCTGGCTATCTCTCTTTTTGTTCCTTGGGGGACGCAAGGTTTCGACAGAATCTTCCATGGGAATTCCCTTCGATACGAGTGTTGGTTAGTTGATGGTTCTGTGTGCCGGGGGGGTGTAGTAAGCTTTTGACGCCATTCTTTGTTCTGGGTCTGCCTGATCTTGACTCCTAGCATAGCAAAGCTAGTGAGTTGAGTGGATGGTTGGATTGTGGTGGCGGCTTTTGCAAGCTTGTCTGCTTTCTCATTTCCTGGAATGTCGGTGTGACCTGGTACCCAGTGAATTGTGGTAGTAGCTCCCTTGCTAACTGCCTTCCGGGCAGCTGTGATAGCTCTGATTTGGCACTCTTGCCCTGGGTTATCTGATGTGGTTTTTAGCCTCCGTAAACCTGCCTGGTTGTCGGAGTAGATGTGGAAATGGATCCCTGGTCTAGCGTGCTTGGCAGCGTATTCAACTGCTAGCGTGGCCCCTTCAACTTCACCGTTGTAGACGAGCTTGTTTGGTCCAATGTTGACTTTCTTTTCGTAGTGGATTCTGTTTGATTGAGGTGAGATTACAGACAAACCTACCCCAATTCCTTGGCTATTTTCTGTTGTTGTAGAGGATGCATCTGTGTAGATGAAAATGCTGTTATCTGAGTTGTTTTGGAGTAGACGAAGGTGAAATTTAGTTTCCTCTTCTGTTGAAAGTTTGCTAATGTGAACCTTGTAAGGAGTTTCTCTTTCCCATGGAGGGAAGTGGAAGTGGTGTATTTGCTCAAGGTCTTCAAGGTTGTATAAGTTGCTAATAGAGCGGTGGATTCGCTGTAGTTGAGGAGTTGCCGGCTTCTTTTTCCTTGGAGTTGCTTGAGTATTGAGGAGCTTGTCGATAGCGTGGTTGACTGGGTGTGATGGTAAGAGTTTGAGTAGACGGAAAGCATACATCCTCAAGGAGGAGGAGAGGCAAACTTCAGGAGGTGGGAGGGCGCTACCAGGAAGGTTGCCAAAAGCTTCAGGAAAGCCATATCATGAATGCCGAGAAAGAAATGGCAGGAAGGTTTTGATCATATCAGGACTCGAGTATGAGACCTCGATATTTTATTAGAACAGAGCGCGTGGGTTGGAGAGGGGTCGAAAGAGACCTGTGCAAGGCTGAAGCAATATGATGTCAATTGAAGTGGCAGAAACTTGTAAGGCTCAGGAGTGGACAAATAGGAGAAGTTGAAAGGAGCAAAACCTATAAGATGATGAGGTTTATTGTTCACTATGGTCCCTTCACCAGTAAAATTTCCATGGTATGCAAAGCACTGCCTCAGCCCATGAGCTTCCTCAAGTTATCCTTGGCCTTGCTAAGTTTCCTTCAGTAACTTGGCCCTTGCCTTAGCCTTTCCGCTCACCCGATGTTTGGTTGGATTTTGCTTCCTCCATGAGATCCTTCAAAATCTACTTCACTCTCCTCTGACCATGCTCGTTCTCCAAATTGAATCCATAACTAGAAGCAAAATGATGAAGGCTTCCGAAGAACCCATTGTCAAGCAAACAACCACGCTGGACTTCGTTGATATGAAGACCACTTTTTTCGACCGGCAAAAGTTCTCCATGTTGGGTTCCGCCTGATGAGCCGACATTGGCATTGGTATCGCCATTGGTCTCTGGTCTACCATCTTCTCTGAAACTTGCAGAATCCCCTTGTCGCGACTCTTCCATGTCAGTCAAGATGAAATCCATCGCATCGAAGTCGCCTGGCTCGATTCCGTACATGGCATTGAAATGCATGTATTGGTTGTATTGTTGATATGCCTTTTCATCCATATTGTCGCGAAGGAGGGACTTGATGTACCTCGATCGATATTCGGAGAGAAATTCGGGCACTATCAGCAATATCAGACAATCAACAAAGGAAGGACATACGAAGAAGGACTTTGGAATTGCAATGATGCTGGAAACTCGTTGAGGTTTCAATGAGATCTTGGCCGCCCACATTCTCATGCTTTTTTCAGGCTGCATGTTGTGTTGGACAAACAAGAGTGAATTCAGGTGACGACGCAGGACAAAGCAACTTCCATCGCTCAGGTGAGAAGGAAGAGCATTTTGACTTGACAAGGTCATATGGTTCAAGATTTCTTTCTTGAAGGGAGTATTGCAAACTCTTGAAACTGTATTTAAACTTTATATCATTATTGTCACAAACCTAAGACAGAACTGTCCGAAGGTTGAAGTGCTATTGAGTTGTAAACCTAAGGCGAAGTTGGTCAAGGTTGGCCATTCCGGGGTTCGGCCCGCAAACGGACCAGCTGCCGAATATTCCGAGACATCGGCGACTTCCTCGATGCACAATCGACCATTCTGACTTCCCATTGCGCATTGTTGAGTTACACGCTTTTCAACCTCACTTCAACAATCTTTCCAATGTCCTCAAAGTTGACCATGGAGTTTGTGATGGCTTCCATACTACCAGATGTCACTCAGTGGCCATCACTTCTGATGAACCTCGCTTACGCCTTCTCAATTCTCTCTCTCCCATTCATCATAACATATACGTTGACAGCCACACAATCTGCACTCGTCATATCAACCAAAATACCTCAAAATGGAGCCTCACTGCCCGTCGTCCCATATACCATCCCCTACCTCGGAAATCTCATTTCCTTCGCTACCAACAGGGAAGCATTCATATCCAAGATAAGGTCTCTCTTCCTCAAGTTTTCACTTCCCCTCTTACCTCATGTTACTCAAGACCAACCCCCATCCCAGACGCAAATTTGGAACTGGAATCCCACTTCGTATCAAACTCGGCAGCCGGAATCTAATCTACATCTCCTCGCCATCAGCAATCCTCGCCCTCTTCCGCCACAGTAAAGACCTGACTACCATCCCCTCTATCGTAAGACTCTTGCAGAACACCTTCGGAGCACCAAAATCCATTCGTATGATCCTGGAAAGAGATAATACCGGGCTTTCCCAAACACCAATTGATGGGAGTAATCCGCTTGCGGAGAAGGACAGGTATTGGTATAACATGCATAGAGTTTTACATACCAATCTTCAAGGAACATCTCTAGAAGAACTTTCGTCGAGATTCATCAAGAATTTGGAAGGGGAGTTGGAGAAATTGTGTGACGGGCTTGAAGGCAACTGGTTTGACTTTCCAGATTTTTCTGAGCTTGTTAGGCGGGTTTGTTTCAAGGCTTCTGTGGTAGCACTTTGTGGCCCCCATATCTTCGACCTACTACCCAATTTCGCGGACCTATTCTGGGATTTTGACGCGAATATTATCGATCTTAGCAATGGCAAACCACGATGGCTCATCCCTAATGGATATAGAGCGAGAGATAGATATCTCGCCGCAGTCAAGAAGTGGAATCTTTTCGCCAAGGAAAACGCGCGAGATTGTGGGGATGCCGAATGGGATGAGTTCTACGGTAGTAAAGTTATGAGAGAGCGAGCTCAAGTACTTGGCAAAATAGAGGGGTTCAGTGCAGATATGCTCGCAAGTCAAACTTCTGCGATGATCTGGGGGTAAGTATCCCTTCCTCAAATGAACTTGCCTTCTCATGAACGAGCTCGGCTAACTAAATTTCAAATAGAGCGAGCGGCAATATTATCCCCGCTATCTCATGGTGCCTAATTGAAACCCTCACCCGACCCTCTCTCCTCACTTCCGTCCTCCAAGAAATCACTCCCTCTTCAGCAGCCGATATACTCAACATCTCTTCCCTCCTCTCTTCCCCCCTTCTCCAATCCCTCTTCAGCGAGGTACTCCGCCTCCGCACCTCAGTAACTGTTCAACGCACCCCTCGAAGCGACTTCCAGCTCGGATCCTACAAAATCCCAAAGGGCTCAGTGATGTTTTCGAGCAGCTGGCACGAACAAAGAGATCCAACCATATGGAACGAATCACCCACCCTACGCTCGCCCGTCCCCCATCCGCTTACTGACTTCTGGGCCGAGAGATTCTTGATTTACGACGATGATCCATATTCCGGCCCTTCCTTACCCTCCACTACTACCTCTCCTACATCCAAACCACCTTACGACACGACCATGAAACCAAAATTCACCATCACCCCCGTAAGTGGCTCCTTCATCCCCTTCGGCGGCGGTAAAAAGGTCTGTCCGGGTAGGTTCTACGCAAAGTACGAAGCCATCTGTGGAATGGCATTATTCCTTTCCATGTATGAGATAGAATTGGATGTCAAGGCAGGAGAGGTGGAGATGAATAAAAAGTTCTTCTTCGGGGGGGTTATGCCTTCTAAGAATAAGATCTCAGGGAGGATGAGGAGACGTTTGTGAGATCGGGAGGTCGAGAAAGGAGATGGGTATGATGATAGGGGAGAATAGGGGTCGCTGATTAAATTTTCGCGTTGATTTGCACACACTACTGTACCTCCAGTTCGAAGCGAGGTTTAATTTAGCATGGCTTTTCATTAATTATACGACATTTGAAACAAGATTCATACAAATTGCGCTCTCGACAAGTATACTTCTACAAGTAGATTGTGAGGAATTCATACCATATTGTTTCCCACGCTAACGTCCCGTCCTAATATTTCCGCCCCTATGTAACCCAAATATAACCCAACCATACTTACCACAAGTCCTAGCTCCTCTAAAACGACCCTCCATAACGCCAACCCACAAAACCTAGGACCAAACCAATACATAGAAATCCCAAGAAAACAAAGCCCAAGAAAAGAACCTCCGCATCAATTATTTATCACCAGCCCCAACTTTACTTAACCCCTCTCCCTCCTTCCTAACAATCTTCCGAGGCAGCACCTCCACCTTCCGACTCAGCAACGCTCTAAGTTCAGGACTGATAACCTTCGGTCTCTGTTCCTCTAGTTCCTGACTTGCTCTTTCCCCCGTTGGCGCCCCCTTCCCTTTCGCTCGGGTGGATGGCGTAGCCGGTCCTGGAGAAGAAGGGGTGGCTCCGCTATTGGTAGAACCGATAGTGACAGTGTCGGTACCAGAAGTGCTTGCTGACTCTCTCGTAGGAGATTGGGATATCACGGTGCCGGTATTCCTCTGTCGTAGCTTTGGAGCTGGGAAGTTGGACTTTTTGTCGATTGCTTCGACGGTTCTTTGGAAACGGCGGAAGAGGGCTTCTGCTCGGATGAGGGTTGATTCTAGGTCGATTGTTGTGGAGAGTTCGTTGACTAAAGTTTGTTAGCTTGTTGGGAGAGGGTGGGGTTAGAGACGGAGGACATACCATATTTCAGAACCTCGTCAAAATGCTGGAGATGTTCCATGATAACACTTCTATGCTTTTCCAAAATTGCCACAGCAACGAAAAGATGGAAACCGCTGCTCAGATAATCCGTCCATAATGTTTCCCACAGCCTCAGAATATCTAGCCATCCAAACTCCCTCTTGTACCAAACTAGCAACATTCGGAAAAAGAAGAAGAAATTAGTCGAGTCAGCTGACTGAAGATGTAGATACAACTTTGGATCCATGAGTTGTACTAGGTGATCGAGAGTAAGGAGTTGTTTTCGCATTCCTGATTGATCTCGTAGGAAGTTCCTCTCCATTCTTTCCATGAAATGCTGGAAACCCCAGAAAGCGATTGCATCATCTTGCATAACTGCATAAATTGGGGCCAGAAGATCAGACATTCCCTGAACGTAGCCAAGATCACGGTTGTACTCGTTGTAAGTGAGTAGCATGTCCTTCATCTGTTCAAGATGGACGTTTGTTCCAACCTCAGCAAATGGTGAGGATGGATCGGGATGAGGTGTGTCTTCGCCTGCGAATATTGGTACATTACGATCGGTTCTGTGTACGTCTTTTTCTATACCAAAGACCCCAAGCAATGGGATACGTCAGCCCGCTGCAGATATGAGCACTCGGATAGCAGATGAACTTACCGATTCGGCCTTTTTGTTCTCTCCACCATTCGCCTTCCTCTCCTTCTCCACCTAGGTCAATTAGACGATCCCACCAAGCCCCCTTTAACTTGACGTATGCATCTCGTAAACTTGCAGATTCTGCCTTTCTATCATCAAAAGTGGAATCCCAGTCATAGACGCCTAATAAGAAAAGCCAAGCTTCTTTCCTCACTCCATCATCAGCATCGAGTCCGCCATGGAATACTCTCTCTTTCACTTCGTCGAACGTGATTTGTAATCTTCCAGTCCGTTGATCGAAAAAGCTATTCCACTCTTTCAGACCAACAACCTTTCTCTGTTCCTTCAAACTTAAACCAGCAATCCCCGTATCCAGTAACTCAAATTCTCCAACCTCAGTTTCCTCCATTTCGAGAACATCCCGAGCTGTCCAGATTCGATTGTTTCGATCCCGCTCGCTCTGTTCTGCAATACCCATTGCCCATCTTGCAAGATATATTCTTGCACTATCAAATTCTTCCTGTATTGTTTGAACTTCCGGGTTCTTGAGTAATCTTCTCACTTGCGGGGGTATCTTTGGATTCTCAATGACGGTCTCTGCTGTCCTTCTGGTAAAAGTCGTAACCTTGCTAAAGTTCTCCATCAGATTCCAACCAGCTTCCTTGACAAATTTGGTTACAGCGTCCATTTCTCCATCTCCCCTTCCTCTTGGGCTTGATCCTGAACCGGCTGCACCACCCACAGACATGCCGGATTGATTCGATCCCCTCACTATGGCGGCCGTGACCGGTTTGCCAAACGCTTCCTTGTCCTCGATACTCGGTTCTACTAAATAGATGTTTGGCTCAGCACCACTTCTCTCAATTTCCACATATCGTTTGAGCCACCTCAAAACTTCATCGCCACCCCAGAACATCTCCCCATTCGCACCAAACGGATCAAAACTTTCCCTTGTACGCTTCTTCTTTTGTAAAATGGTACTCTGACATTCGGAATCGTGAAAGAACAAAGCAGGAAATGATTCGCCTCCACGAGTATTGACGATCAAGCTACCAAACCACCACCCCAGACTCGGTGGTCGCACAAGAAGGCTATATATTGCAGAAACCGGAATGGCAAACGCATAGTGTCCTATCGAGCCGGAATGTGTGGTTGTAGTCGGCGGAGGGGGAACGAGGTATGATTGTCGAGGAGGCGAGTCTCCTTCTGAGAGGTCTACTTTTACGTATGTATTGAGGGCATCACCCAGTGAAGATTCAGGTAACCACGCAAGGAGAAGGGAGGAAGCTGCTTTGTTTCGAGCTGCAGCTGTGGAGGATGACGAAGTTGGTCTAGAATCGGGGGCTGGCTTTTGCTGTAACAGCGCGATATAACCAGGCACGTTGTCTTTCGCAGAGGGGGTAGGATGTATGTAGACCTTTAAAGTCGTAAACGTTAGCTGGTACTCGTACGGTGTATGGAATTTGCCCCTCCATCATATTGAAGCTGCCCCTCAAATGCCCCGCATCTTATCGTAATAAATTACCTTGCTCTTGGAGAATAATAGCTTTACACCTCTGCCGCTCCTTGTATGTGTGATAGTATCATAGTCTCCCTCTTCGTCATCGCTTTCGGCGTAGAAACTGTTCGCAGGCGACACAGGTCGAGCGGTTGATGGCTCTGCTGCCGGCTTCGCAGGCGCTTTGGCTTTTCCGGTTGACGACGTCATTGTCGTTATTCCGGACTCTTCGTTTGCAAAGGCTGGACGGAAAAAAGAAGATGCTTCCTTCAAGAAGAAATTTGAGCAGCAACTTGGGGTTATGAAGCCTAAAATCGCTCGTAGGTTTCCATGTCGGGTGATACTTTGAATGACGAATGACGCAGCACAGCTGCATGCGCCACCTACCTCAGCCACATTCAAGCTAGGGCCAAGACCAAGCATTCACCTGCCTACGCAGCCGAGTGTTGTTATTTACATTGGATTAATTCCCGGATCTACATTAAAAAAGCACAATAAAATGTGTAACCCACAATTTGTATGGAATTAATGAAAATTGTAACCGAGTGCATTGGAAACCTGTAAGCTTTGGGTTTCCAAGAAACTCCGTGTCATTTTCTCCGGAAAGTTGTGAGGTTCTCACTCTGTAAACTTTGCAAAGGGTTGGTCCTTCCTCCCGTGCTCCATTCACTATGTGAGGTGACACAAAGCCGCAACCCCACCCTACCTCAAGTCACTCATCTTGCCCGCCAGCTTTCGTCGACGCCCCCTCCCGATCTGGAAAACAACAACCACCACCACATCATTCCCATGGCACAATGGATGTCGACAAGAACACCTGTAGCAACCACCCACAAAAGCCATCAGGCGAGCTCCATTACGAAGCCCCGATGACTGCAACGATCAACCACGACACTACGCAAAGCCATATTGACTTTCCCACTAACCAAAAGGCTTTCGACGCGGAAGCTTCCATCAACGCAAAACCAAAGACAGACGGAAAAGGAGATCACCTTCAAAAAGGCAACACAATGACCTCCGATGGACAGCATGAAGAGGACAAGAAAGCACAGAACACCTCTCTGACCGCTGTCAACCACACCGGACATCCAACCGCTCCTTCCTCTTTGCGCGACACGTCAATCTCCGCCGAGGATGCCCAAAAAGAAATTTACCGGCTTGCCTCACTTCACGGCCTCGATCTGTCAGTCCTGGCCAAGAAACGGGTGGAATTGCTTGACCAACACACCGCGGAGATAGTCACCCCTTCCAAGAACATATCACTCTTTTACTTGCCAACTCAGATTCGACTCAAGATTTACCGACTTTTACTCGTAAACCCAGCTCTTGGAAAGGCGCCTGTTGTTGACTACAAAGGTCCTTCGACTAATTTTCACGAGTGGGAGTGGCCATGGAGGCGGACTAAGTACGGACTGGCCCCCTTTATCCTCCGAGTCTCGAAAAGGGTTTATGGAGAAGCTCTCGGTTGCTTATACTCTGAAAATAAGTTCTATGTGGATTTCAACGAGAGGCCGGTTTATTCACCTCTGAGTAGATTCTTGGGAGAAAAGTCTCGCGCATCTAAATTTTCTTTTCAGAATCTCCCAGCAACAATTAAAGTTCAACACTGGCATATTTGTGTCGCCATTAAGGGTCATAGCTCGTCTTATTTGGGGAGCGCTAAACTGAACGAGAATTTCCTTGAAGATTTTAGTCAGTCCGTAGCTCGAGCTTCTCCTAGGTCAATTGTTGTCGTTGTTAGAGACGCCTCCGACCGAGAGACCTGGAGTACTGAAATACCTATAGATTGGCCCAGGTATAGGAAATTTGAAGTTGACTTCCAAAATTTCCACTGCCAAAATCAATTTCAAAGACTACTGAATCCTCTTAGGGCACTTAGTGGAATTGAACAGGTCTCAATCCAAATCAAGTACAGCCACAATGCCGATCCTTACAAATATCCTGCCGAAAATACACATTTCATCGGTCAATTAACTAATTCCATGACACGAAAAACGACAGAAGTACAAGAGTTAGCATTTGAGATGTTCGGGCCATTGCTGAGGTATATTCGTGCTTTCCGGATAGGGCATAACTTCTAGATGTACGACATGAATTCAACCGCAACGCCCACACAGCTACATGATGATTCGGAAATTTATTCCATCATGCGGGTTTTGCCACTAGAAAGGACCATGAGAACAGTGTCGTGTGCACTCGTAGGGAACCAACTTGCAGAGTTCAAACGCCAACGAGCTCTGGTACTTCAAGATATGGAGGCACACTACAGAGAAGTCACAGCGACTTGGTCAATTGTCAAGACAATTCTGAATTATCACAAGGAAGGTTATTCATGGATCTTGAACTCTGATGAGGAGGTCCCCGAATACGAAGGGATAACCCGAAGATGCACAGATCATGTGTATGAAGCTGTTGTTGGATCCGTTGAGGAGTGCATAAATGCTTGGACGAGGAGATTCCCATCACAAACTGTTGAGGAATTGAAGAATGTCAAAGTTTACGAGGGAGCAAAGGAAAACCGAATTTTTCGCAAGTTGAAGCTTGTCCTTAAAGAGTGTGAAGCTCCTTTCGAGCGGGATGAAGTTCTTAGAGATACACTTCCAGTTGTGATCGAACTTCTACAAACTTGGTTCACGGAGTTGCGAACTGCAAGAGAGGCTTTGTTTGAGTTTGACCATTCAGAGCAGCCTGGTTGTGATACAGAACTCCAGATCGAGGGACTTGATGAGATTCTTTCTGGGAAGTTTTGCAATTGTGAAAGCTATAGCCATCTATACTGGCCGAACATACCAAGGGATGAGGGTATGGAAGAAAACATTATATCGTAGGAGAGGACTATAGCAGATTTTATAAAATACTTTTGAGGACGCATCTGTTTTTGGTGCTATATGAGGTGCTTGTTTGCTTTCTGTTTGCTAGGGTTGATGGTCGCTTACTATCCTACTAAGCTTTACTAACAGCTCTCTACGTCTAATAATACTGAATAACGGCAAGTTATAGCTTAACAAGGCTATATATTACGCTCCTAATCCGGATATGTTATTAAATCGGGCCTAGCAGCTCTAGAGTAGGAACGTAATTATACTTAGCTATATATAGTTACATGTGCCTATTATTAAACTTATAGCTTACGAAAGTATAAAACATTATAACTTTTATATTAATAGGATTAATCTCTCTTAGGTAAAGACGGAAACCCCTCTTAGAATTTATGGATTATTATATCGCCTTTTTCTAAAATCTTAGATTATACTATTGTATCTTTAGGCTATATTAACATTATAATATAATAAGAAAGTATAAAGTTAGTAAAGTTATAGATTAGTTATTTATAGTTTTATAGGTTTCTTTTCTATTTTTCGTTTTATATACTCTTTTTAGTAAAACGTTTTTTTATATAAAATATATACTCGGTAAATAAATAGTAGAGAGTACTATTAGTAGATAAGGAAGGTAGTTAAGATTCCTTAAATTATTTTACTATTTTCGTTTAACTTATCTATCTTAATTAGTCTACTTAAATAGAATAATAGTATAGGTTTTACTAAGTTAAGCTAAGGGGAAAGAAGTCTACGAGAACGTTATAAGCTAAGCTCTCCCCTGCATTTACCGCTATTATATAAGGGTAGTTTAATTAAAGACTAAGCTACGAGTACCTAGGGTATAGATATACCTAGAAAGCTAACTAATCTAACTAGTCTATTTTAGGCCCTAATAACTATCCCCCCCCTTAATAATAGATAGTTACTATAACTATAGATAACTAGCTATAATCCTCCTATCCTATAAATCTTTCTAATAGCTATACTATAGTAATTTTATTCTTTTAGATAATATTAAAGAATTCTTAATAATACTTATCATAGTATTTTCTATATTATCTCTATATTAGATATTTCTTTCTAAACCTTTAGTTAGTAAATAAATAAATATATACCTTGGTAATATAAACTATATAATCTTATAACTATTATTTTCTCTAGAAAAAAAAAACTTCCTCTTTTTTATTATTTTATCTCTAATAAATATATATTACCTAACTATTAATATTTAACTATTTCTTACTTATATACTATTATAGGTCTTTATGTTAAACTCTTCTAAGTTATTTTTATTATTTCTAAAGAAAGAAGTATTTATATTAAAAGTAAACTATTTATTTTTATAGTCTTCTAGTACTTATATCTTATTCTCTTTTTCTAATAAAGTACTATTTATACCTTTCTTAGTCTCCTCTAGTTAGTTTTACTTCCTCTTCTTTCTAATAGTAATAAGGCTTTTAGTTACTACTCTCTTTTTTTATCTCTTCTCTAAGTTATAAGTTTCTTGTAACTACTTCTTTATACTCGTTTGCGCAGCTAAAGTGGCAGCGTAGGTCTCCTGGTCTGTCCATTGAAGGTCTTCTTGTAACGAATACTCAAACTGGCTAACTAAACTTGGCTGGGTGTTCGCTGGTTGGTATGCTATGATAAGAAGAAGACTATCGGGTTGTTCACTTGGAAGTGAACTCGTTACTTGTATCAAAGATGTCAAACTAATATGATAAGATTGATAACTAAGTTGAGCACGAAGCTCCTATCTAAATGGCAGACGTGCCAGTCTTATATAGAACCTTCGTTCTCTGTCTAATCGCTTTAGTCGCTCGCCTCAGTCGCTTCAGTCGACAGGCGACTCAGGCGACTGAAGCGATCATGGTCACGTGGTACTTTAATCCGACGAAATCCATGGATCGCTTAGCTAGCCTAAGGATCCCCTTCTGCTATAAGAGTTATGATAATGCTCGACCTGTCAGGGCGCCGCCTGGTCTTCACTATCTCCCGTGGTAACACGTGATTCGT